CAGGGCAGAGGCCAAGGGGAAGAGAGGTGTGCCTGAGGGCAGAGCAGAGAGTTCTGTGAGGCCATTGCAATGAACCCAATAGAGAAGTAGTGAGTGCCGTGGGAGGGGCGGCTGATGTCAGGATTGGTAAAAAGACTGGAAGGTGGTGGCATGTCTGGCCTCATAGAAATAAACCTTGGGCTGTTGCTAGTGACTCTGTTTTCCCCTCGTGAGGTTGGAGAAGGTCAGAGGAAGATGCCACCCCTGTGCCCTTTGGCAATAATGAAATCCTACTCAGTGAAAGAAAGGAAGTAACCGAAACTCAACATAAATCTCAAAAACATGCTGAGCAAAAGAAGCTGGACACAAGGGTATGTGTGGTATGACTCCATTCATCAGAAATTCTAGAATGGGCACAGCCAGTCTATACAAACAGAAAGCAGATTAGTGAGTGTCTGTGCTGGGGTGGAGACTGACTCCATAAGAAAATGTTTCGGCAGTGTGTATGCATAGAATATGTCGAAATGCATGCTTAACATGGGTGCATGTTACTGTGTAAATTACCCTTCGAAAAACTATAGCTACTCAGGCTCCACCAGAAACCAATCATCAAAATCTCTGGGCTAGGGCCTGGAAGTTCTCCAGGTGGTAAGTGTCTGAAGCCAGGGATGTAAGCTGCATCTCCCAGTGCTCAAGGGATGGAGAAGAGATGGGAAGCTACCTGTGCAATGCTCAGTCCCTTCCTGGGAGAGGAGAGAATCTGAAAGACAAGGAGATTGGGCAGGTGAGGGCAGCTGATCCAACTACCTGCCCCAGAAGGTCAGAGACCTCAGGCTTCAGAAGTCACCATATTTCCCTCCTTTCCTCTGTTCCCTGGCTCCTGGTGGGGTTCTCACCACCCCCTTCAGGTGGGCTAGAAGGAGATGAAGCCTTGGGTTTGGGAGTGAAGGCTGGAGGTCAAGCCTCCTCCCCGTCTTCCCACCCAGCCTCTCTTGGGGTGGTACCAGAGGGTCCTTTAAGATTCATGCTGCTGGCAGGTACCTGGCACAGTCCCCTGTAATAACTCTTAAGAGCTTGGCCAGAAAGAAGGGGACAGACTTCTTTGGGATGTTTCTCGCAGGGTGGGCCAGAGCCCTGGGTGGCCACCCATAGCTGGGACCCCAGAGCGTCTAGCAGGTCTGCAGCTGCAACACAACAATCCCCACAGATGGTCCCTCTTTGACCCCAATCACAGACAGCTCCAGCCTGAAGCAGCCTAGAGTCTCAGCAAGACACACCTGTAGGGACAGAATGAACTGGAGTCTCCGGCAGGAGCCTGACCCCAAATCTCCACCCCTAGGGCTTCTGACAAGGGCCCTGGGTGATGCGAGAAGTTTGCGATCCACTGCTAACCTAGAGGTTGGCGGTTTGACACTGTCCAGTGATGCCACCAAAGAAAGGCCCCGGGGACCTGCCTCTGTAAATATTACAGCCCAGAGAACGCTGTGGGACGCAGTTCTACTCTGTGGCACATGAGTCGGAATCGACTTGACAGCAGTGGGTTTAGGGGTTTCTCACTTGTAGCCTGAGACAAGCCCCTTCATCTCTCCAGGCCTCATCTCTCATTTGTAAAACAAGGCTTGGAATAAGCTCTATTTTTAGAGCTGATAAGGAGCTCTGGTGGCGCAGTGGTTAAAGCATTTGGCTGTTAACCCAAAGGTCAGCTGTTTGAACCCACCAGCCACTCCATGGGAGAAAAATGAGGCAGGCTGCTAACTTCTGTAAAGATTTACAGTCTTGGAAACCCTGTGGGGCAGTTCCACTCTGTCCTCTAGGGGCGCTGTGAGTCAGAATTAACTCAACAGCAGTGGGTGTGGTTTGGGCTCTGCTTCTGTAAAGACTGACAGCCTTGGAAATCCTATGGGGCAGTTCTACTCTGTCCTCTAGGGTCACTATGAGTTGGAATCGACTGGATGGCCGTGGGTTTGGTCTGGGTTTTAGGGCTGATGCTAGATTATCATAATGTGCTGATTTTATTAGACCAAGATACTTTACTGCCATCTTCTGGAAAACTGGTAAATAACTACAAATCTACAGTGTCTAGGATGTGACTACTCTCCTTGTAGATGTGGGTCTTTGTGCAGCGTACAATCTCCATAGCCACACACAGTGGCCCTGCCTATCTCACAGGCTTGATATGAAAAGTAAATAAACTAATATACTTAAAACGCTTAGACCAGTAGCTGTATTCATCATCACCATCATCACCAACATTGTGCTGTTCCCATCACTGGTCTAGGTGACCAAATGCCATCTGTGGAGGTTGGAGCTGGGCAGCTGGAACAGTCCTACTCCTTCAAACACAGACAGGCACGCGAGTGAGCTCATGGAGCCAAGTGGATTCTCCCTAAACTTCCAACTTCAGTTAAAAAAAAAAAAAAAAAAAACTCACTACCGTTGATTCCAACTCATAGTGAGCCCCACTGGGTTTCTTTCCAAGACTGTACATCTTTACAGAAGCAGATCAGCCCATTTTTCTTCTGTGGAGCAGCTGGTGGGTTCGAGCCACCAATTTTATGGTTAGCAACCAAATGCCTTCCAACTTCAGTAAAACCAAAACCAAACCAAACTCACTGCCATCGAGTCCACTCCAACTTATAGCGTCCCCCATTGGGTCTCCGAGGCAGTAAATCTTTATGTAAGTAGATTGCACAGGCTTCCTACTGCAGAGTGGCTTGAACTGCCAACCTTCTGGTTAGCAGTCAGATGCCTTAGGCACTGCGCCACCAGAGCTCCTTCAACTTCTACGGAAGCTAATGAAATCCTGAGAGATCATCTGGGTGGAAAAGCATGCCATAATTTCTGTTTCCCTATAATTTGGGAGAAGGAAGGAGAATTAGATCTTGAAGGGGAGAGCCTAACACTTCCTCAAGCGTGCCCCCACCACATCCCCCAATTAGCCTGTTCCTGTCTGCTGGACCTCGTCTCCCAACCACCCCCACCCCAACCCCATCCTTCCTCCTCACCACAATCTTCTTGACAGCATCCAGAAATCTGAAAGGCTCCCAAGGACAGACGGGGAGACCCAGGGTCCCACCAGCAGGGGATGGGCACTCTGCCTTCTCCTAGGCTTTTCCTGGCCACTTGACCTGGGATCTTGGAGGGAGAAGTACAGAGAGAAGGAGTGGGTTGAAAGACTGGGATGGGTGGAGGCCCTTGGCCCCTGTCCTCTCCCCTGCCACCTCCAGTCAAATAGATGTTCAGGGAATGTGCCCTGAGAAGCTGAGGGTGATGGCAACCCCAGAGTAGAGGGAGCTGGGTCAGAGGGCTCCCTGACCTTTATGCTCAGGGGAGACAACATTGAGGAGGTGTGTGGGGGACGGGAGAGCTTTGGACCCTCCCCAGAACCAGGCAGTACAGCATTGGGGGGCTTTCTGGCTTACGATGTGTGTTCTTGTGGGAAAACACCTGTGCTAGGCCTTATTTCTGTCTGCAGAAATTTTGGGGGTCTCTGATTGGGCTGCTAACCAAAAGGTCAGCTGTTTGAACCCACCAGCCACTCCATGGGAGAAAAATGTGGCAGTGTGCTTCTGTGAGGGTTCACAGCCTTAGAAACCCTATGGGGCAGTTCCACTCTCCTCTAGGGGCGCTGTGAGTCAAGATTTACTTGATGGCAGTTGGTTGGGTTGGGTTGGGTTGCTCTCCTTTTTATTTCCATCTGTATTGAGGAATGTTCACACCTGCCTACATCTGTCTGTCTTGTCTTCTTTCTGAGTGTTGGCCTCTCTTTGAGCCCCTGTACTGGGCTGTGTTTTCTAGGTCCATCTCTGACTGACCTTTCTCCTTCTCTTCTCCATTGAATCTTTGTCTTCCTTTCTTCCTCCATGTGTGCCTCCCTTTCTCTTGTGTCTCTCTGTCTGTCCCTCCAGGTCTGCCTCTGTAGGGCTCCTTTCTTCCCTCCCCCTGTCCCCTTTCCCTCTCTCACCATTTTGGAGCTGGATTTTGGGCTGGAGGCACCCCCTCTCACCACCCTCTGGGCCCAAGGTAAGCTATCATACCCCTTTGAACCTTGGACCCCAGACACTGTGCTGCCAGGCACACTGAGGCAATCCTAGGCTCTCCCTAGCCCCAGGAGTGGAGCTGTTTGGTTGGGAAGAGCGCATCCTGACTGAGGTGAGTCTGTAAGGGAGCCAGGGGGCAACACAGTACTGGGGTTCCTGAGATGAGGTGGCAGGGACTGGCGGTGGGATGGAGAATTCTGTGGGGAGGAGGCATAAAGAGGAGGGTGATTTTAGTGGGGAGAGTGAAGAGACATTTAGCTAGCATAGGGCACCTATAGGGGCTCTGGTGGTGTAGTGGTTAAGGCATTGGGCTGCTAGCAAAAGGTTGGTGGTTTGAACTACAGCTACTACAAGAAAAAAAGATGAGGCAATCAGCCTCCTTAAAGATTTACAACCTTGGAAACCCAGTGTGGGGTTCGTTATGAGTCAGAAGTGAGTTTGGTTTTTGGTTTTCAGGGAACCTAAAGACGGGGCTATTGCGAGATGTCTCTGAGAAGAGCGTTCTAGGGGAGGAAAATTCCAAGGAGGCAGTTGCTGGGGAGAGGAGGGTCTGAAGGCAAGGAGATTCTGGGAAAAAGGAGATTTTGAGTGAGGGGCCCCTGAGAAGGGACAATTTTGAGAAGTTCTGGGAAAAGTAATTCTAGGGGAAACAGATTTTGAAGAAGCAGGAGTCTGGGAAGAAAGAGGGCAGAGGCTTGGAAGATTCATGAGTGTAGGGGGCTCTTTAGGGGAAGATGAGAATTAATAAGAGGGGGGGGGGGCAGAACCAAAATGCAAATTAGTCACCAGTGATGACCAATGAGGGCTGAGGATATGAGTTCGAGCCCCGCCCCTTACACATCCAAGACCACGCCCACTCCCTTCCCATGATCCATCTCCCCGCCGCTAATCTGAGACTCCGCCCCCTAAATGCTTCATTAGCCGTATAACTTCCTTTCGCTGCGACATAGCGCTTACAGCGCCTGCGCAGACTCTGAAAAGCAGCCGAGGTGGCCCCACGCTTTCCTTTTCCGGTTGCGGCGCCGCGCGGTGAGGAGCTCTCGTTTCAAGCCCGCAGTCATGCCGTCCAAGGGTCCGCTGCAGTCTGTGCAGGTCTTCGGACGCAAGGTAGACCGGGCATTCTCCGGGACGGGCCCGAGGAGGCCAGTGTCTGGGAGAGGCCGGTGGGCAGGGATCTGGGATCGTCTTGGGACTTGGGGCCCGAAACTCAACGCGGTTCGGCTCTCCCCCCCTTTCCTTTCCGTAGAAGACTGCCACAGCCGTGGCACACTGCAAACGGGGCAACGGCCTCATCAAGGTGAACGGGCGGCCTCTGGAGATGATTGAGCCACGAACGTTGCAGTACAAGGTGCCTGATGGAGGACGGGCCTTTGGGTTGAATTGGGAGGGGACCCTAGAAGCGGAAATGTTAGAACACACTTGGGTTCTGGGGTTGTGGATTATGTAGCTGAGCGATCTGGTGTTGACGACGGAATGTTAAGGGGCTTAGTTGGGGTCAGAAGAACGGTATTTCGCGATAGAGCTGGCCTTGAGATTCAGATGAAGTAACAGCAGAATTGGAAGGGTGAAACCATGGATGTTGAAGGTGCTTTGAACGTAAGACATGTGGAAGCATCCCGAACTGGGGACCGGATGGCATGGGGGACACTGGAGTTTATGGAGCGTAATTTCTAGATAAGGCAATGGGGGTTATGTATCTCTTTTACAATTTTTTTTCCACTTGTGGAGAGCTCAATGAATATTAACAGAAGTGAACATGGGTGTCTTGAAACACTTGGCTGTGAAAGGGGTTTCTCTGATTAATCGCCATCCTTTCCGTTTCATAGCTTAGGTTTCTTTGACTCAGAATGATGTTTGCCTTTTCTAGCCACGTTACTTGAGGCATGTCACTTCACGTCTCTATTTTGGGTTCATCACCTGTAAAAACCAAACCCACTGCCATCGAGTTCCAACTCATAGTGACCCCCATTGGGTTTCCAAGGCTGTAAATCTTTACAGGAGTAGATTGCCTCATCTTTCTCTCACAGCGGCTGGTAGGTTTGAGCCACCAGCCTTTTGGTTAGCAGGCAAGTGCCTTACCCACTATGCTGCCAGAGCACCTTCATCATCCGTAAATAGGAGTAAATTATACTTTAAAGAGCTGTTATGAGGACTTACTAGATTATTTATTTATTTGTTTATTGTGATTTGGGTGAAAATTTAGAATAAATTCACTTTCCATACAGCAGTTCCCATACAGTCTGTCTCCTGACATTGACAATTTACCACAATGCAACAGCTCCCCTCCCACTTCCTCCCAACAGTCACCTCTTCCCTGTGTCCATCCCTCCATGCACTCCTGCCCCCTGAGCTGTCTCCCTTCATTAGATTCTTTAGGTGAACTGTTTGGTATGTATGAGAACATATTCATTCGTTTGTTAATACATATTTTAAGTGGAAATAGTATGTTGCAAGGGCACTGTTAAGCGTTTAGTAGGTAGTGTTATCAGTGGCTTTTTGTTCTTGACTTACTTGTTTGAAGAATTTGTATGTGCACAGCCCTGTGTTGAGTGCTCAAGATACAGTGGTGACTCAGAAGATCCCAGGCCCTGCTCTCATGGAGCTCTTAGTCTGCTGGGGGATAGACTGGATTCATGACCAGACACTGAACCAGAGGGGTTAGGGCAGAGGCGGCTCTGACTCAAACCTGGGTGGGAGATGGGTCAGGGTGGGCTTCCTGTGAAAGGAGACCTAAAACAGATAAAGCAGAAGTGTACCAGGCGGAAGGAATATAACACACAAAAGAGTTAGAGCTGGGAAGGGGGAGAGCATGGCATAGATTTGTAGCGTTCACCCCCTTCTCACTTACCTATATGGTTATGTTTCAAAAACCAGGTTGATACACAGAAATAGGCATCGTGTGAAAACGGAGGATGACTACTGAGAATTGTGGCCCAGCCAAGTGGACCCATAATCTTAACCATCACAGCCAGTGTTACTCTGCCCTGACACTTAGGTGTACATTACTGACAGGTGTACGTCATTAATACGCAAAATAGTCAGCTAGGAGATTTTTGACTGTGTTCATTACTGTGAGGTGTCTGGTAACGAGATGGTTGATGAGTGAGGAGTAGATGTAATTCTCCGAGAATCAGTGTGCGACTCAAAGGGAAGGCAGAGAGTTGGGACAGGGAACAGAAGGCATCTGGCACAACCCTGCCATGGCTTTCTCCTGTCGGAGGCAGCCTTGGTGATGGCACACCTTTTCCTTACTACTGAACTAAAGTATTTTAAGAACTTGTCTTAAGAGGTGGGGTCTCTGGGGCCCAGAGAAGGGTAAACGGGCAGGGGCCCAGCTCAGGTTGTCTTTATCTGCGCCATGTTTCCTCCCACTTCCACAGTCTTCGCTGCTGCTTCAAGTCCTCCCTGCCCCCGTGGCTCCATAGAGGGGCTCGGGGTGATAGTTCATTTCGCTCTGGTGACAGAAGCTGGGTAGAAGGAAAGGGGGAGACATAGTGACCTAAAGCCCTGTTCATGGTCCTTGTTCCTTCAGCTGCTGGAACCTGTTCTGCTGCTGGGGAAAGAACGGTTCGCTGGCGTGGACATCCGTGTCCGTGTGAAGGGTGGTGGTCACGTGGCCCAGATTTATGGTGAGTCTGGGCACTGGGCATCCTGGGGTAAGGAGCAAGGCCCTTAGCCTTGGGTCTTCATGACGCTCACGTGCCCTCTCTCGTGTGCATTTTCCCCACAGCAATCCGCCAGTCCATCTCCAAAGCCTTGGTTGCCTACTATCAGAAATGTAAGTAAGGGTGGGTCCTTCCCACCAGAGGGCTAGGGAATAGCAAGTCGAGGACCAGTTCTGGGCTTGGAATCTCAGGGACTAAAGAGGACCTTCCGTGGTAATGTAAATCATCTCCACCCCCTTTCCCTTCCTCAGATGTGGATGAGGCCTCCAAGAAGGAGATCAAAGACATCCTCATCCAGTATGATCGGACCCTGCTGGTAGCTGACCCTCGTCGCTGTGAATCAAAGAAGTTTGGGGGCCCTGGTGCCCGCGCTCGCTACCAGAAATCCTACCGATAAGCCCACCAGGAGGAGCAGGGTTCACCTTTATAATAAACAGAGGTTCTGGGATTTTAAGGTTTCAAGGTCTGTGCTGTGATTGTCTGGGGGAGCGTCAGGGTGGGTCTTGTATTAGACAAATTGCAGGAAACACCCTCAGCCCTCATCCAGTGTGGATTGTCGTCCTTTCCAGAGCCCCCACTCTGGGCTTGGTGTGAAGGGATGGGAGCAGGTCGGTCTCCATTTTCCTGGAACCTTCAGGAGACCTTAGAACTGAGGCGCTACCGGTGGTTTCGGGTCATTGGTGACTAGAATTGGGTGGTGGAGGTGGGGCGCTCTTAGGGATTTACTTCTTTCTATCCCTTTGTTCTTGATTTAATGGCATGCCAGGGAAGAATGGTGGAATTGTGTATAATCAGTAATCTTTAACGATAAGAGAGATGATGAAAAACCAAACCTGCTGTCGTGACTCATAGTGACCCTGTAGGGCAGAGCAGAAGTTCCCCATAATGTTTTCAAGGCAGTACACCTTTATGGAAGCATATTGCCTCATCTTTCTCCCATGGAGCAGCTGGTGGGTTTGAATGCCAGCCTTTTCGTTAGCAGCCCAGTGCTTCAACCACCGTACCACCAGAGCTCCTAGAGATGAAAGTGAGGCGAAAATACCTGGTTGGAATCTGAAGTTTGAGATTGGCCTGTGTGCATTTGTTAGAGGCGTGTTCCTCTCTGCCACCCTATAGTGTGGTTGGTACTAAGATCTGAGAAGAGGGACCCAACTTGTAACACATCCGTGGCAGGGAGGGAGGTGTGTGCAAATTGAAGACACCTGCTCCCTCGACCTCTAGTCCAGGCCATGCCAACTTCTGTCATACTTGTTTTTAATCTCGTCCTTGTGTGTGGCAGTGGTCTTGGTCTGCAACACTTCTCATTTCCGTTAAGGGTGTGAACAGGACCTCCTAGGGGGAAGGCCCTCCCCCCAGCCACCAGAAAGCAGGTCCCTCCTATCCTCAGGGGGCTGGTTTTCAGTTTCTGTCTGCTGTCGTCCCCCCCTCCAGCACCTCTGCCTGGCCGTGTGCTGTGGGCATTGCAGTGATCACAACCCACTCCCTACCCAGCCCCTTAGAGTCAGACTGAGGACAAGGTAGCTGCTGCGGGTGGGGAGCATAGGAACGCTAACGACTTGAATGGCAGATGAACCGGTGAGCTTCGTGAGTGTGTTCATCTCCACACTAACCATCGTGGCCCACCTGGGCACCTCCCCGGTCCTCCCCAAAGCAAGGCCTTGTTGCTGGGAGTACAGGGGAGAACACGATGGCACACTGGAACGTGAGGGGGCAAGTTTCATGCATTTTCGTTATAAAAGAAGGAACTTGAGATTTACTCACAGCTGTCCAGTTTCCTTTTCTTAGCTGGTTTCCACAGTCCAGTCAGGTAGCCACACTTGTACTCTGCAGGCACGTTCTGGGCTGTGTAGACCACATCCCCACATCCAGGATGGTTCTGTTGGACAGCACTGGTATCATTGGGGACCACGGTCAAGAGAGAAACTTAATCCAGAAACAGGTGGTGCTGAAGAGCATCAGCTAGGTGCCAGGTTAAGCATCCGGACACGTCCTTGCACCATCACTGTGGGGTTGGTGACAGTGTCCCCATATTACTAATGGGAAGCAGGCTTGGAGGCAAGATAGTGTACAACTGGCCACGTTTTACATGTGAGCTAAAGTTGGGACGCTGGCTAATTGCGTTTTAGCTGGCAGTAGTCTCAATGGCCCCAGGAGGGCAGCCGTGTTCCAAGGATGGGAATGGCACTGCCCTCACCCTTAGCTGCAGCTCTGAGGCTGGCTTATGCCCGGCTGGGGGAGCCAAGCAAGAAAGGTATTCCTGAAGTGACAGCAGAGCTGGGGCCACCAGGCAGAGGGCTGGCTTGGGCAGGGGAATGGAGCCGGGAGTGCGGCAGGGAGCAGGGCCAAGGCAGGCCTGGCACCCATGGTTTTCCCAGGGGCTCTAGGCCCCCATGATAGTAAAGGTCCCACTTCCCAGAAGTGCAGCTGGGACACATCTGGAGAGGAGGAAGGGTCTCGCCTCTGCTTTCTGACGCCAGGCCTTGGAGTAGACAGTCCCCTTCTGCCCTGCCGCCTCCTCAAATGCCGGGAATTCCGGCGAGCCCAGGCCAGGCTGGGGACCGCCAAGAAGGAAAAGTACAGCTGGAGGCGGCTGGGAGTATGCATCCGGCCGGAGGCAAAGGAAGGCCTCAGTGCTCTGCTCTAGGCATTAGGGTAGCCGGTGGCATCCTCTGCCACTGTGGAGGCCAGGCCGCTGGCGCACAGTGGGCATTCTACAGCTTGTAGGTTCGGTGTCAAGTTAGGGATCTAGTCAGCTCTTAACTCATGATGACCTTAGCATAACAACGATATGTTGCCCAATCCTGTGTCACCTTCGAGACCCATGCATGATACGTGCTTAAGTCCGCTGGTTGCTATCGGATTAATCCAGGTCAGTCTCGGGAGTGAGTGAAGAAAAGCTAGAGCTAACATTTATTGACCCAGGCCTTGTACCAGCTACTCCGCTAGTTGTCGGAATCACATGGGGCCCTTTGAGCTTGAAGCTGTGGGCAGGGAAGTATTCCCTCTTATACCCTTCCGTGGCAGGAACAGTACCTGCTGGCACAGGAAGGCACCAGGCTGCGAGTTCAACTTCTAGCTCCGCTCCTTCCTAGCTGTGTGACCAGGCTAGCCTCCCTCGCTCTATGCCTCAATTTTCTCATCTCTGAGATTGAAAACCACCTTCATTTGCCTTTCAGGGATGCTGTGAGGCTTGAAAATGAATTAGTTCATAGAGAGGGACTATAAAGCCCAGTTCGTACTCAGTAAATGTCAACTTCTGTGCTGTTGGTTTGTTACCTGCTAAAAATGCAGATTCCCAGCCCCCTGGCCTGGGTGCTTTTGCTCTGAGGACCTGGGATTCTAAGGAGCACGCCTGGTGAGCCCTTCCATCCCAGAAGGCAGGCTAGTCTCACTGAGCCTTTGCAGTGACCCTGAGGCAGGTACTGCTGTCTTCACGCCACAGATGCGAACGGGCTCAAAGGGAAGTCGTACACCAGTAAGGAGGAAAGGCAGGGCTGGAACTCGCAGAATGCACACTTTGAGCCATGCCTCCGTGTCATCTCACACAATTCCAGGGAAGATAAGCTAAAGTACAATGAGCCCTGGTGGTGCAGTGGTTAAGTACTCAGCTGTGTCCAAAAGGCTGGCAGTTCAAACCCACCAGCCACTCCACAGGAGAAAGATGTGGCAGTCTGCTTCCATCAAGACTGACTGACTGGGAAACCCTGTGGGGCTGGTTCTACTCTGCTCTGTGGGGTTGCTGAGTTGGAATTGATGCCAACAGGGTTTTTTTATTTTTTCAATGCTAAATAAAGCACAAGGGGTCAAGTGTTTGAAGGAAGCTAATACTAGTGCCCAAAAAAAGTGCTTAAATTATGCTTCTCCCTGGGAGTGCCACTGCTGGGAGGAGGCGACAGAAGGATCCTCGTATAACAGCCCTTTGTCCCCATGACCTAAAATGTTCGGGGGATGTGGGGAGAGGTACATTGAGGCATTGTGGAAGGTCCCAAACTGAAAAGGGCAAATGAAGGGATCTGATGTGTGTGGGTGGGCACAAGAATTGGGATATTCATGATGCTGGGGGTGAGGAGTGGTTGCCAAGGGAAACCAGACAGCCATGAGACAAACATTCCTCAGAGCTCCAAACCTGACGAGCCCTGGTGTTAGCAAAGGCTTGTGTGAAACGTGGCAGTACCAGGACCCAACTGCAGTACCATGCCTTAGGAGGGAGGGATGGAGGTAGAGATGAATGGGTGGGTTGATGGAGATGGACAGGTGGGATAATAGAGGAATGGATGGGTGTGTAGGGTAATGGATAAACAAGATGGGGAGAATGGATTGGAAGATGGATAGATGGAAAAATGGCTAGTTAGACACATGGAAGAGACAGCTGGGGTAAAAAGAATGGGTGCAGGCTTGGGCACAAGCTGGGCAAACCGCTAAGAGAATGAATTCCTAGGGGGCTACTTGGAGCAAGACTTAACTTGGGTTCCAGATGGGCATCAAGAGTCTGTAACTCCCCTGAAATCATACACCAAATGGTAGTAACTTTTCAATAATTCTGAGGGGTTTGCAATCTCCCCAAATTTCCAGAACCAGTGATCTGTGCTGGGTCCAACTTTCTCATTGTTATGCGTCATCCCACACTGCTTCCAGAATAGTAAAAGACATGTAATTTCATAATATTAACAAGACATTAATGACATCCTCTTCCCCACCCCGGCTGAGTGTCAAGGTAATAAGGAGCATTTGCCAAAGCAGATCCCGGAAGTGGGAAAGCTGTGGTGAGCTTTAGGGCCGTGTTCAGTGCCTGGATTTCTGAAGGGAGTCCTGAGAGTCTCTGGCTTCTGGCTGAAGTCCTTTTTTTTTTTTTTTTTTGAGGGGGTGTCCATCCTGGCTCACAAGTGGAAAGGGGCATCAGGAGCTCCCTGGGCCCTTCGAGGACCCACAGATTTCTGGGTGGGGGTCAAGAGAGCAGGGTGGTTCAACCTGACCTGGGCTTTGGCTGGCCGCAACCGCCCCCCACCCCCCACGTGGATGCTTACGGTAGTGGCATAGCTGAGTCGCCTGGCTGGGAGTGGAGGGGGCTGAGGCTGGGGTGGCGGTGAAGGTGCCCGTGACGTGGGGGCAGAGGAGGACCAGGGGCCCCTGGAGATTGGGGGAACCTCTCCCTCAGGCCCCTGTCGCCGGGCCAGGCTCTGGCTGATGTAGGAGGCTGCTAGGTACTTAGAAAGGGCAACTGCATTGGGGCCCAGGAGCTGACGGGTAGGGGGTGGGGGGCTCTGGGGTGGAGTCAGGTCCACAGACTCCAGCCTGGCAATATGAGAGGTCGAGCGGCCTCCTGGCTTGGACGAAACCATGGTGGTCTGAACTGGGGTGAGTGACAGGCCTGGAATGTCTTGTGAGCCCCCTTGCTCAGGCAAAGGTGTGGCAGCCAGAACGTTGCTATCTGTGAGACTTTGCCCCTGAAGCAAAGACGCAGCAGCTGGGTTCTGGATGTCTGGGAGGCCTCCCTGCTTGGGCAGAGGTGTGAGGGCTGGAACCTGAATGTCTGAGAGCTCTTGGGACAAAGACAATGGAGCACTGGCTGGGATCTGGTGGTCCAGGTGGCCTCCATGTGCAGACAGAGGTGTGGAACCCAGCCCCTGAATGTCTGACAGGTCCTGTGGCAAAGACGATGGAGCCGTGGCTGTGACCTGGCGGTCCAGGTGACCTCCAGCTGCAGGCACAGTTGCGGTACCTGGCACTGGAACATCTGCGAGGTCACAGGGCAAAGGCAGTGGGATGTTGGCTGGGATCTGATGGTTCTGGTCACTTCCATGCCTAAGCAAAGGATCTATGGCTTGTACCCGGATGGTGGCTGGGACATGAACATCCCTGGAGACTCCCTGCTTAGTTAATGGGATGCTGGGGGAACTCAGACTGTCTAGGTGGGCTTCTTGCTTAGGCACGGTGGCTAGAGACACATCACAGCAACTTCCCTGCTTGGGCAAAGCTGGGGAAGCTGGAACTTGGAGGTCGACATGGTATCCTTGCTCAGGAAGAGAGGTGGTGGATGGAGCCTGTATATCCGGGTGGTCTTTTGCCCAAGACAAAGGAGTGGGGGCTGGACTTTGTACTTCCAGGCAGCCTTGATGATCAGGCAAAGTTTTAATAGCTGGAACCTGGATGTCTGAAGGGTCTTCCTGCTTTGGCAGTGGTGTGGCAGCCAGAACCTGGACATCTCGTAGGCCTTCTTGCTCAGGTAAAGGGGTAGTGATCAGGTTGACTGGATGGTCTTGCTCAGGCAAAGGGGTGGTGATCAGGTTGACCGGATGGTCTTGCTCAGGCAAATTTGCAACACTCAGACTCTGGCCATCCAGGCAGCTTCCCTGTTTAGACAAAGGTGTGGCAGCTTGCACCTGGGCAGCAGGGCCCAGGGGGACAGACTCCTGGGCACAGATGAGCGTGAAGGGCAGCTCGCATACCAGCACATGTCCAAAGGCAGGCAGGAGTCCTGTAGGCAGACAGAAGATGGAGTCAGGGCGAATGCCTTAGCTTGGGCCACCTCTGTCAACCACAAGCCTGTACCTCACCTGGCTCGGCCTGCTCATGGGGCAGGCAGGGGGATGGCTGGGGCTGGGCCAGGACCCGTGGCCGACGGCGCGGGGCATTGGCAGATGCCCGGGTCTCAGCCCGCTGCATCTGCTGGATCCGCTCGCTGTAGAGTCGTGCCAGCTCGCGTACTCGGGAGGCTGCCCTCTCTGTACTCGGGGCCCCTGCCTTCCCGCTCCCACTGCCTCCGGCCAGATCCGAGTCTTCCAAGATCAGCAGTGGTTCTGGGAAACCAGGCTGGGCCAGCTGCCCCTGCTCCAACGCCTGCCAGGCGTTCCGGATTTCTGAGCAAGAGCGGGGCTGCAGCTCACCCCCGAGTCCCTGATCTTGAGTGATACTCTTGGACGACAAGTCTGAGAGCGACACCCCTTCTTCATCCTCCTCTTGCCCCGCTCGACTTCCCGAGGAGGAACTGCTCCGTTTCCTGGAACTGCTCCCAGGGAACAGTTCTCTCCTGGTGGCCAGAGGCTCATCGGGCTCCTGATGGGGACCCTGGAGCCAGGAGCCACAGGGGAGGGAAGGAGTGCTGGGGCCGTCAGGGTCGTTAGGCATGGCTGGAAGGCAGGGCATTTCAAAAACACTGGAAATGTCAGAGAGACTGGGAAGGCAGGGCATTTCGGGAATTTCAGGAAGGCTGGGAATGTCAGGGATCCTGGGAAGGCCAGGAATGTCGGCGATTTCAGCCCCACTGGAGCTCTCAAGTCCCTCCAGGACGTGGAGTGGGGAAGGCTCTCGCTCATCCTCCTCCAGGTCCCCCTCCTCCTCTGAAGAGTCTCGGCTGGGCGTGGCTGGGAATCCAAGGGTGCTGCTGGCACCTGGCACCTGGGGGTCTCCGGGGAACTTGGGAATGTAGTCGGGGGATGGCTGTAGTGGGCACTGGGGAAGAGGTCAAGGTATCAGGGTGGGTGGGCACACCTGGTCCCTAGTCTGGGCCTGCCCAGGTCCAGAGCCCCCAGCCTGCAGTGATGGGCAGCCCAGCTCACCGCCGGGTCCCGGAGGCCTCTCTGGTTTAACAGCTCCAGGATTTCTTCAGTGATCGAGGTCCCAGAAGGATCCAGAGTGGGGGGTCTGGCATCCTCCAGGTCCTCAGGGGGCCCAGAAGCTGGAACTGGTGGCTGAGACTCGGAGGAAGGGTACAGCTCCCCCTCACTGCCAGCGTGCTGGGTGGAGAAAAAGGGGTGAGGGCAAGGCCAGGAGTACCCTACCCGCCTTCTCTCAGACCCAGGAGTCTGGGCCCAGCCGCTCCTCCCTCAGGTGAAGAACTCTAAGCCTCTTCCAGTCCCCTCTGCCATGAGATCCAGGCCCCCGACGTTTCTTACCGTAAGTCTGAGCTTAGCTGGGGTTGGAGAGACGAAAAAGAAAGAGTGGTAAATACGAACAGGAGTTATTCCTTGTAACTGAATAGTTGCCCCCATCACCCACTCCCCATCACAAGGCTGAGCTGGACCAGTCACTGATCACTCTACAGAAACATGCCAGAAGGGTCCTTTGTTGGCTCTGGGGTGAGGATACAGTAGTGTCAGGGCCAGATCCCAGCCCAGCCCCTGGTTTACCTTTGAGGTGGTGGGTACTCACCAGACTGTCTGCGGCCATGGCGGGTCGAGGAGGGTCCTGGGGATGGAGCTGTGGGAGAGGTGGGGTCAGGACCCTGTTATGAGCCCAGCTCCAAGGTCCTAGGGCCCCAGGGGGCTGGGGACAGAATTCCTGAGTGCTGGAGGGGAAGCGGGCTGGGGGGCCGGGACATGAGGTCCCATCTCATTTACCCGTGTTCCTTCGCCCAGGGTTGAAGCTTCTAGCATCTCTAGGTCGGGAAGATTGAAGTGGGGGTGTCAGTGGCTCTGGGATGGGTTTACTTTTGGGGGCACCTGTGGAGAGTGTTTTAGGGCTAACAATGTACTTTTTCTTTGAAGTAACAAACTCCTTCCTTCCATATCCTCCAAGGCCCCCAACTCACAGTGTAGGCTGTTTTCAAGGAGAACTTGCTTTGCCTGAAAGAGATAAGGATTTAAGGGCTGAGGGAGCCCTGTCTCTGTGCACAGCACAGCAGGGGTCTCTGAGGACAGCAGTCCTGAGTCCCATTCATGGGTGCTGTCAACATGGCCTGTGCTTGACACGGCTGATAACTGTTAATCCTCACCGCAAACCAAAAAAACCAAACCCACTGCCATCGAGTCAATTCTGATTCACAGCGACCCCCACTGGGCTTCCAAGACAGTAAATCTTTACAGAAGTAGATTGCCCAGTCTTCCTTCCATGGACTGGCTGGTGGGTTTGAACTGCCAACCTTCTGGTTAGCAGTCAAATGCCTTAGGCACTGAGCCACCAGCGCTCTTTCATTCTTTCTTTCATTCTCCAGTCCTAGGAAATAGATGTATCATTCCTCCAGATGAGGAAACTGAAGTTCAGAAACCAGAAAAGGTAAGTTACTTGTCTAAGATCACAAAGCAGGGACGTGGTGGAGCTGATTCAAACCCAGGTGGCCTGAGTCTGCATGTGCACTGTGAACAATCACCTTGTAAGAGGGTGGAGTCTGAAGATCTTCCAGTATTACAGGGGAGTGCTTTCAGAAGCTCTCTAGCACTCTGGGGGGCTCACCTTGGCAGGAATGGAGGCAGGATGATTCTCAAAGAAGAGGCGCTGGAGACAGTGAACCCACAGCCTCTTCTCCTCTTGGTTCCTAGCCTGGAGGAGGGAGGTGAAGTCAGGGAGCAGGTATAGGGCCGGGGAGCCCTGTCTGCCCAGCCTTACCCCGGGCTCACCTGGAACAAGTGTCTGTGCTTGGGAATGGTCAGATCCGACACCTTGAACCCTAGAGGGTCGCGAGGGCTCTCACTCACACTCAGGTTGCAGCACTGGACAGGGAAGCAGGGTCAGGGACAGGGGTGGGACCTCAGACCCCACAAAGTAGCCCTTGTAGGTGTATCTGGGCCCCTAGCTCCAGGAAAGATGAGTCCCATGAGGTTGTACAGGGGAAGTCCTTTCCCCTGGCTGACCCCCCACCCCCAGGCTGGGTGATGGTCTCCCTCACAGCCCCTCCCACCCTCATCTAGATGGCCAACAAGTTCTCCTTTGGAGCTCTGTGGGGGCTCCTTCCCTCCTACTTCCCAACTCTGCCAGGCTTCACCTCTCCCTACTGAACTCTGCCCCTACACTTGGACTGAAAAAACATGCCCCTTTTAAGCCAGGTTGTGACCCCACGCAGGCCCCGCCCCTAGCCCACCCCTCCAGGTACGAATACAGAACAAAGCTGGGAGCCATGTTCCGGCCCTGCCCTATGCCCAAACTCACAAAGATGTGGCCCTTGTAGGTGTACTCCGGCCCCCGGCGCTTGGTCACCAGCAGCATCCGTGAGAACAGGAACAGCAGCCGCTCACCTCCTCGTAGCCGCGGGCCGCCACCGCCACCACCTCGGAACGCACCCTCCAGCACCAGCTCCCCAAAAGCACTGAGCTCCGGGCCAGTCCAGCCACCCAGGCGCCGCTGCACTTCCTGCCAGGTCCCCGCCAGGTGTGCCAGGCAAAGGGCACACGCAGGTGGGTGGCACACATAGGCCAAGACGGGGGGTTCAGCACGGGGACACGTCATCGGAGCCCACCTCCAGAGGCTGCCTCAGAAGCCCCCACTCCACAGCGGCAACCCGCCCTCGCCCCACAGCCAGCCCATCATCGGAGCCCAGCCCACAGCGGCCCCCTGCCCTCACCCCACAACCAGCCCAGCCTGGGGCCACCTGGAGGCGTGCAGCGTGCTCCTGCTTGCGCTTCATGTCGTTGATGTACCAGGCAACCGCTGTCATGGACACGATAGCCTCCTCCACCATGTCGCGGCCCCCGGCCCCAGGGCCCTCCGCCCAGTGCTTACCAAGCTCCTGCCAGGCATCCACCAGGTACCCAAAGAGAGAACAGAGGAGAGAGAGAGGAGGATGGGAGAGAGATGGCAAGAGGAGATAGGGAAATATACGAGTGGGGGCAGAGATGGAGAGACAGAGATGGAGAGAGACAGAGAGACGGACAGATACAGAGACAGACAAAGACGGAGAGACAGAGAGGTGAGAGAGACAAAAAGATGTAGAGAGAGAGAAGGAGACATAGAAAAAGACAGATGGAGAGACAGAAATGGGTAGACACAGAGACAGGTACAGAGTCAGACAGAGAGATGGAGAAAGACACAGAGAGATGGAGAGACACAGAAAGATGGAGACAAACAAGAGGCAGAGACAGAAAGTAGAATCATTGGTCCAGCCCCCACTGCCAGTCAGGTCCCGGCTTCCAGGGACCAGTGGCCTCCCTGGGGGCTGAGTGTGCTCCCAGGGCGTGCTCCCAGGGTGTGGTGGGTCCGCCCAGTGGTCAACTGGCTCAGGCTCGCCCCTCCCCCAGCCAGTCCCCAGGCCCCAGGCTGACCTGCAGCAGCAGGTGGTACTTGAGGATGCGCTGCACAGGTTTCAGGAGGAAGCTCTGCAGAGGCAGCGAGTGGCGAAGCTGGGCCTGGCGCTCCTGCAGCCACAGGGCCGCTGGCGGAGACAGGGCCAGCTCCCGAAGCAGGGCCAGGGAGCTGGGGGCACAGCACAGGTCAGGGGGCAGCAGGGAGGGCGGGCAGGGCCGGACAGGGTCAGGAGTGGACAGGGCTCGGGATCAGACGGGGTGCAGGGGCTGGAGACGAATGGGTCACGGAGGCGGAGGCGGCTCGGGCAGGGGCAGGTAGCACATAAGCCTATGGGCATGGTCTGGGGGCCCGGCAGGGGCTCCTCGCCCCTTACCTTGGGTAGTTCATGCAGTACAGCGTGTAGATGTCAAAATCCTCATTCTGTGTGTGACATGGGAGTCAGGGAGACCCCGGACCCTGGCTCCCCATGACCCCCCAGCCTGGCCAGGCCTGCCCCGCCTCTGGCCCCACCCCAGAATGACAGGTGCCTTGCCCCCCACTCACCCTCTGCACAAAGCACTCTGCAATGTCCCCTGCACTGCAGCTGCCTTCCAGGTCCTCCAGAAGCTCACTACGGGGAGAAGGTGAGGGTGAGGGCCGCCCCGCCCCCATGGCCTTCCCCCCTGCCCCCACGGGGGCTCCAGTAGTCCACTGGGTCTGGGGGGCTTGGTGACTGCCAGGACCTCTCCAGGGGGTGTCATGTCCGAAGGGAGGGGCCTGAAATCACTACATGGGAGATGGCAATGTGCTCAGACTTTGTCCTTGGACACCTAAAATCCTGTCACAGCTCTCCCAACTGGCATGAGCCTGGGGGTGCCATGTCATGATCCAGAGTGAGGCCTCACACCGTGAGATTCTGCAATGACACTGAGGTCCTGTCATGACTCTCAGACCTGCAATAAACTAAAGACACTCAGAGGGATCATGCCCCTTGAACTCCATCCTACCCAGGCCTGAGAGGTTTGAGCACTAACACCAGGAAAGTCCTGGGCAAACTGGGACATGTTGGTCACCTGAGTCTTCACACTCTACAATCCTCAGGGCCCAGATGATTCTGAGATTCATCAAACCACAGAACTGTCAGAGCCCTGAGATGCTCCCTGCTGTGTGGAACCTCTAACTCCCACCCACCCCACTCCTCTGCCACTCTGGGCCCTCACTGCCATCAGGACCCCAAATACCTCACAGGACAGGATACTAGGGAGTTCCCAGGCTAGGTTAGGACATAGCTCCCGCCCCCCAGCCGGTGCCCCCCGCCCCTGACCTGCTGAACTCATAGATGTCCTCGATGTTGGCAAACAGCGTCCCCACCTGCTCCTCATTCAGCCCCAGGGCCCCGCCATCCAGCAGAGGACCCAGGTAGTCCTGTAGGGGTGACCTGGGTCACAGAGGCCAACAGCCCAGCCTGGATGCCCGCCTGCCCCGGCTGCCTTCCCGTCTTACCTCCACGATGCTGCGGAGGTCTCGCACGTAGGCCCGCTCTGTCTCCACAATCTCATGGGCCACACGCTCCAACCGCGAGGGCTTCGCTGAACCCGGGGTCCCCACAGGCGACAGATGTAGGCGAATGGGCGGACCTGGAAGGGGCTCTGGCCTGGATGCTGAACAGGCTGGGGGGGGGCCCGGGGCCAGGTCCCCCTCAGAGCCCATGGTGCTCAGAGATGTGGCGCTTCCAGAACCTCTGGGGGAGGCCATGGCAGGGGCTGCAGGGGGTGTGGAGCAGGAGGTCAGGGGTCTCCCACAACCCTACATGTACTCAGCCCCCACCTGTGAACATCGCTCCCTGGGTTGACCCTTCCCTCCCCACTGGCCTGCCTCATCCAGTCCTGCCCTCTCTCACCAGAGGCCCGGAGCCATCACCTCCTTGGGCTATAGGCATCTGCTATCTCCTGTCTAATGCACCTCCATGAAAGAACCAGGTAGATCCTTATTAATATGCCTCTCTGACCCTGTCACTTCCTTTCATGCAAAAAAAAACAAACTGTCATTGAGTCGATTCAGACTCATAGCGACCCCCTTTGGGTTTCTGCGGGGATAAATCTTTATAGAAATAGATTGCTTTCACAGAGTGAGTGGTGGGCTTGAACCGCCCACCTTCTGGTTAGTGGTCAAATGCCTTAGGCACTATGCCACCAAAGACTCCTCAGAGCCACAGGTCCTTGCACCATGTGGCCATTACATGCCTTTCAGCCTGCTCTCATCCTATGGCCACCCGACTTCTTAAGCTCCAGATTCTAGTCAGTGAACTACGCAGTCGTCTCTCATTTATCTTTCAGACATACTGTTCCCTCCACGTCCATGCCGAATATCCTTATTTGCTTTGGCCCCATGCGTTTCTCCTAATCTTTTAATTCTCAATTTAGATGCCCCCTCCTCCAGGAAGTCTTCCTTGACTTCCCAGGCTGAGTCAGGCTCCCACAGCTCCCCAGGCGTTCCTTCTCACAACCCTTGACCACTCTGCATGGTGTACTTCCCCCTACCTTCCCTACCACACCTGGAGTTCTGTGTGGACAGGGCTGCGGCTTTCTCACTCATCCTACGCCCCCAGCATTGCCCAGCACTGGGCCTGTCACACATGGGTAGGGGTACCCAGCATTTTGAATGAAGGAATGAATGCCCAGAAGGGCCCCCCCCCACTCACCTGCCCCTGTCTCACACTCCGTTGCACAGTCGCACACGTCACCTCTACGGCCACACCCAATGCTGGGGCTGGGCTTCGACAGTCGGTGGGCTCCCTCAGGCATGGCTGAGTGCGCTCAGAGCAGCGCCCTACAGAGAGATCCCCTTCTTGGATATTGGGACTCCATGAATCCCCCCCATCGCCCCAGCTCCATGGATTGAGAGCTGGGGATCTAAAACCAGGGAGAGGCCTCTGGCAGCAAATAATTAGGGAGACCCAGGCAGAGTAACAGAGAGAGAGGGACAAGAAGAGAGAACACAGAAAAAGAGATGGCAAAGTTCAGACTGAGCGAAGAGCGCAAAGGAATCATAGAAGCTTAGGAGTCCCGCCGCGATCCCAAGCAGAACAGCAGGAGGCTCAGGGACCCTGGGAACGTTTGGGCTTTGGTTGGAGAGGAGGAGGGTGAGGGGCAAGGCTGGGAAAAGCCGTGGGCGGGAGGCCGCGGGGTCCCAGGGGAAGGCGGAGGAGGCTGGGGGACCGGATGCCAGGGTCCGGCAGACAGACGGCTCCCTCCCCCGCCGAGGGCTGCGCGCCCTCAATGCCCCCTGCAGCTGGTCTCCCGCGGGCTGATCACCATCCCACCGCCCAGCCTCCCCTCCGCCGCCCTACACCCCTGCAGCCCCCGGCTCCCGCCGGCGCCTCGGCCCACCCCCGGCGGCACGCCCCCTCATTGTTCAGCGGCCGCGGCGCCGCCCCCTCCCCCAGCCCGCCGAGGCCCCTCGCCTCCCCCTCACCTCCCGGGAGCTCCAGCCCCGGCCCGAGGCCGCCTGGTTCCTAGGAGACGCTAACGCGGTCCCCGAGGAGCCGCGACTCCGAGTCTCTGCGACTCGGGGGCGTGAACTTCGGACTCTGAGCCTCCGGAATCGCAAGTGTCTCCGAGTGTAGGATCCGGCGGTCCAAATCTTGGTCCTCTAGATGGGGGATGCTGGCAGCTTTCACTCTGGAGCCTCAGATCTGACGCTGGGGACCCAAATTCCTGGTCTTCTAGGTAGGGCCGTGGGGGGCCCGGATTCCTGAGTTCCCCGACTCTAGCAGCGGGAGCGGGAGCACAGGGAAGGTCCCCAGTTCCTGTGTCCTCTTGAAATGAAGGACGTTGCAGCCCAAGGCAGGTTGGTTGGGGCGCTAGGGGTCTGGATCCCGAGTTCCTCCAACCCAGGAGTCTTGGGTCCGGATTTCTAGGAGCCCCTGACGGGAATCCGTGGTCCGGGATCCAGGATCCTGACTTCTTCAAAGGAGAGTACAGGAGGCTTGGCCTTTAGGGTCCCGCGGGGCTGACATCCCGGCTCCTCCAGGAGGGGGCGCTGGGGGGCTGGATATCTGGAGTCCTCTAGCCTAGGCGCGGGGGCCTGGACTTCGGGGTCTTTCAGGAGGCGGTGCAGAAATTCCGGACACCAGGTCCCGTAATTCTGGGTCCCTCAGGCTCCTGGATGGGTGGCCCAGAGCTTCCGCAATGACACGGCGCCACATCTGGGGCGGGAGAGTCTGGTTCCAGCTGTGGGGCGGGGGGCGGTCGCCTGGGGCTTCCCCTCCCCCCTGCCACCCAGGCTTACATCCTGTTCCCGCCCGCGAGGGGGAGGGGCTGCCTTCCGGCCGGCCCGCCAACAAAGGGTTAAGGCCCTACCTCTGAATATTTCTGGATATTCATGAGGAGGCGAGTCCCTTGCAGGCCACGCCCCCACATTCCAGGCGGCTCGCGGGCTTTTCCCTTTTACAGCAAGGGCCTTCGAGCGTGAGAATCCGGAACTGGCCAAGCGGTTTCTCTTATTGGTTAGCCGAAATAATTTTATCTGCATAGGAAATGTTGGGCGGGCTCGTCCGGAGAGGTCACGTGGTCAAAAACAACTGAAGAAGCTCGCTGCGCAAGGGTGCGGCCAGAGCTCCAGTGGCGCAATCGGTTAGCGCGCGGTACTTATACGACAGTGCGGGCGGAGCGATGCCGAGGTTGTGAGTTCGATCCTCACCTGGAGCACTACGGTTTTCTAATTTTTTTTCCTAAATTTATTAATTTTATTAATAAACAGAGATATCCACGTCACATAGAGTAATGAGCACTTTAATGTTTAGAATTGTCGGGTTCGAAAGACTCAGGATTCTAGCGACGATCAACTGTGAAGAAATACAATTTATTGCTGTGGAGTTGATCCTAACCCTGTAGAACAAGGTAGAAATGACCCATAGTTTCCAGGGTTGTAATCTTTACAGGAGGAGGTTGCCACTTGGCATAGTGCCTAAGGCATTTGACTGCTATCCAGAAGGCTTGCAGTTCAAACCCACCAGCCACTCCTCAGAGGGACGATTGGGGGCAGTCTACTTCAGTACTGACACTGCTTCGGAAACACAAGGAGGGGTCGCTATGAGTCGCATCCACTGGATCGCAGGGAGTTTGGTTTGAGTTTGGTTTCTCCCTGACCAGCTGGTGGGCTTGAATCTCTGAGATTTTAGTTAGCAGTCACTTAACCACTATGCCACCCACCAGGGCTCCAAGATTAAATTTATCTGTATTGTAGGAGCTCTGATTGCGTAGTGCCTAAGGCATTTGACTGCTAACCAGAAGGCTGGCAGGTTCAAACCCACCAGCCACTCCTTGGAAAGAAGATTGGGAAATCTACTTCTGTTCCTTGGGAAACCAAGGAGGGCTCACTTTGAGTCGGAATCCACTGAATGGGCGGGCGTTTGGTTTTTTGTTTGGCTATTGTGAGAAGGTGCCGTTTTTGGTCGCGACCGCCAGGGGGAGATAGCACCTCTTATTAGATCCCGTGGGACTGAGAATCTCAGTTTAAATCTACAGAGATCTTTCAAGCTGTGGGAAGCTGTATACAGCACACTGACTTTTTCTGTCTTTGTCTTGGAATTTCCAATTCTCTTGTCTTTTTCCCTCTCAGTTTCTAAGTCTATTTATTTTAATCAAGTATTGTTGAATATAGTGCTCAGTAAAGACATTCTAGTAGGGAGGCAGACATTAACAAACCTAATATCATTTTATATGTTAGGTAGTGACATATGTCATGGAAAAAGCAGAGCTGAGTACAAGGTGGGGGAGTCGAAGGTGGAGGTGTATGTTACAACATTAAATAAGATAGTCTGGTTTAGTCTCAGTGGGTGACATTTAAGCAAAGACCTGAAGAAGGGGAAGTGAGCAATAGAGTTATGTGGAGGAAACGTGTTCCAGATCCTGTGGCTAGAATATAGCCAAAGTGTTGGTCAGGAGCAGCTGGGAGGCCATGTGGCTGTGACAGCCCGGTGACCACGGGGAGAGGAGGTCAGAGGTGAAGGGAACCAGGGCCCTGGGAGCTATGCAGAGGATTTCGGACTTTGGCTTTTCGGTGATATGACTCACATGTGCACAGCCTCCCTTTAGTTGCTGAATGGAGACAAGGACAGGAACAGAGAGATGTTATGAAGAGTTCAATGGAGAGACAATGCTGGAGGGGAGGAGGGTTTGCAGGTGACTCACAGGATTGCTGAAGAATGGGGTGTGGATTGGAGAGAGAGGGATCTAAGAAACTGACACGTATTTGGACTGAACTAGCTGGGAGCAGGTGTCATTTTCTTAGATGAGGGTTTATTTTTATCTTAGAAGGGGCAGGGAATCTGTTTCTACTAAGTGAAGTCCCAGGGATGTGTGCCTCTGTTTCTTCAAACGTCTCCATACCGCTTGTTACAGCTTTTTCTACCTTTCTTGTCGTCTTTGGGTCTCTGGATTTCAGCCTGTCTTCCTGTCTCTCCCTCTCTCTTCCAACCCTCTTTCCTAGGACGCATTCTCAGGGCCTGAGCCCTTCCCCACCTTGGGGGGGGGCAGTTCCCCAAAATCCAGGTTGCCAGTGGGCAAGGGGGCAGGAGTGAGAGGGCACGGGAGGCGCGAGGAGGAGAGAAGGGACAAGAGGGAAGGGGGTTGGATGAGGGAAGGAGAAGGGGCGGGAAGGGGGTGGGCTGGGGGCAAAGAGGAGCGAGAGGGCAGGGAAAGGGTAGTGAGAGAAGGGAGGAGGAGAGGGCCTAAGGGGAAGGGGAGAGGAGAGGGTCAAGGGAGGGATGGAGAGTGTGAAGAAACCCGGGGGAGAGGAGGAGGAGAAGGGCTGAAGGCTGAGGAAGAGGAAGAGGGGTGAGGAGGGGTGAGGGCAGGGCCGAAAGCGAGGGTGGGAACCAAGGAAGGAGAGGAAAGCGGGAAGGAGATGGAGTTGGGGGGCGGAGGGGGGGAGAAGGAAGGGAAAGAGGGTCTGGTTGAGAGGGTCGGAGACCGCGCGCTAACGAGGGGCGGGGCGCAGGCCCTGACGCTGGGCAGCTTCCGGGCGCCGGGTACCCCTCCCTGGGGGTGGCGCCCGGGGCCTCTTGCCTTGTATGGTCCGAGGTCGCAGCTCACCCAGGCCCCGCCCCGAGGCGCGCGGCCACTACCCACGTACTCCCTCCCAGAGGCGCTCGCGAGGCTGGGCCTGTCCGGTGCGTGCTTGGGAACTGCGAGCCTCCCAAGGGTGGCAGGGGCCCAAATCCCCTATCTCTGAACTTTCAGAACCCTGACCCTTTAATATTCTGTAATTCCAAAGTTCTAAGAAAGGAGCCCTTTGGCTCAATGGTTAAGGATTCCGCTGCTAACCGAAAAGGGGGACGGTTGGAATCCACCCGTGGCCCCGTGGGACAGCCCAGGAAACTCTATGGAGTGGTTCTGCTCTTAGAGGGCCATTCTGAGTCGGAATCTTTTGGAAGGCACGCAGCTGGATCCTGGAGTGCCAGGGTTCTAAAATTCTGCAATTCCTACGGTCCTGAGATGCTCAGGGTCTAGAATTGTAACTCTCCAAGAGACAAATCCCGAGATTTGGGTCCAAAAAGTTTAGAGTCTAGAATCTTGAGCCTTTAAAAGTTTCCCCCAAGATTTCGAGACAGTCCAGATTGCTCAGACTCTCAAGTTGTAACGCGCGGGGTCTTGAGACCCCGAAACGCCTGGCCGGGCGTTTCCGGATGACTCCCCCAGCGCCCCCCTCCCGCGGGCACGGGACACGCCCCTGCCCGTCTCTGGGCTCGCGCCCCGGCACATTCCGTCCTTCCTACTCCGCCCCGCCCTCCTCCCTCGGCCTCGCGGGGACGGAAACATCCCGTCCCCGCCCGCGCCGGGTTCGGGAGCCTGACTGCAAGGGAGCGCCTGAGCCCTCCACGCCCTGCTGGGAACTGGCTCTCCGGGTTCCTATCGAGTGACCTCACCTGGCCCCGCCCTCTCAGGTGAACAGGCTGCCTGGTGACGTCACTTCCTGCCAGGTAAGCGCCCCGGGGCGGCTCAGCTCCGGGAAACTTCGGAGCTTTCAGCTGACTCAGCCCCTGAAAAAGGCCATCCTATCCTTTCCATTCTTCAGTCCTTTTAGACGGCAGAAAAGCCAGAGTTCGTTAGCACGATAATTCTTTTTATTTAAAAATTAAAAAAAAAAAAACCCCACAAAAATAGACTTTCTAGGTAACAATATATATATATATTAATATATTATTATAGTATACTTAATAATTATTCCATAGTTTCCAATATTACAAAAGGAGAAAGAAAAATACAAGGGAAGCAGACGACCCAATATATATAAATACTATAAAATCTATTAGAATAAATAAAGTCGTCATAAATAAAGGGCCCATTGGCTTGGGGGGCGGGTGGCAACGGCTTTGGCTATTTGCTTTCAGAGAGGAATTTGAGCACCAGGATTCCCCTTCAGGGGAGGCTCCACTAACCCCCAGACGCTGGGACCTCAAGGTCTAGGATAAATTGGGAGGGGGCAGTGGGGACCTATTATTCACAGCACATAAGATTCTAGGGGACAGATTTAGGCATGGTAGAGATGGGGGGCCTGACTGCCTCCCCTCAAGATTTGCTACATCTTGTCTTTAAAGAATCCGAACAACACTCCATGCCCTACACCATAAACACTCTGACGCACGCTGGGGACCTGCCCCAGGGCAGGGCGTTTTGGAAGGTGAGGGGGGCTACTTGATTAAGTGCCTTCCCCCCCCAGTTCCCCACAGCCCCAGGGCCCAAATGGAGCCCACAGCAGGACAAATGGCCCCCCGTTTTTGATCCAGCTGATCTAAACTAGGCAGGCACTTGTCACTCAGAAACGGAGATGCGATTGAAGATGGGGAGTCTGCGGGGGGCTGCGGGGGGCTGGGGTGGCCCAAAAACTCCCGCCTCAAAGACCGGGGAGTCCGAGCCCCCCAGGCTGCTGCCACTGCTGGCATACTCATCAGGGTCGGATCCCAGGGAGTGCGCAGAGGGGCTCCGAGCTAGGCCACCCAGGGGCCCCCAGAGGCTGCTGGGAGTGGCTCTCCGACAGGAGGGGCAACAGGTCGGGGTGGGGTCCCTTCGGGACACCGGGGTCCCAGGGGCAGCAGAGAAGGCAGAGGGTGAGAGCGGAAGGTCCCCGGGTGGCGGTGGCGGGGAGCTGGAAGGTGAGAGGGAGCACGTGGACAGGGAAGGGCTCGTGAGGCCAGCTGGAGGTGGTGAGGAGCGGCGGCCCGAAGGCAGGCCGGAGAAGCTGAGGCTCTGCCGTAAGGTGGGGGGGTGCCCAGGGGTGGCCCAGTCCTCGTTGGGGTTGTGGATGAAGTGGCAGCGGGAGCCGTAAGGGCAGCGACCGTGGAGGTAGAACTTGTGGCACAGCTCCGTCTTGTACTTGGGGTGGCGACTGGCCTGGCGCAGCTCACCCAGGCCATGGGCAAACTGACACTTAGCCCCATACCGGCAGCGTCCGTTCTCAGAAAAGGTGCGACACAGCTCAGTCTTGTAGCGAGAAGAAGTGGCCGGAGTTGCAGTTGGTGAGGTGGGCGAGGGCGACAGCTCAGAGCTTGGGCGTGGAGCCAGGGGTGCGAAGCCTGGGGGTGGTGGCACCCAGGCACACGAGCGGCCCTCCACCAGGCTGGTGGAGCGGCCCGGCAGGCGGGGGGCCGCCCCCACAGGGCTGGAGTCCGACGAGCTCCAGGGTCCTGAGGACTGCCATGCCAGGCTGGGCTCGGTGCCTCCACGAGTAGATGACAGGTCAGGGCTCAGGGACAGGAGGCTCTGCAAGGACAAGGGGGCAGTTAAGATACCGAAAATGCAGGGTGACGCCCTGCCCCAGATGCAGGGCACCTCAAGAGCTTGCCCGCCCGGTTTGTGGGCTCCAGCCTGAGCCCCACCTACCCATAAAAAGCAGTGGGGTGGGGCGGAATGCTTTGGGCATCCCAGGGATCCTGAATTGTTTTTAAGTTTATCCACCACTGAAGCTTATCGCGGGGCACCCGGGAGTCTGATCTCTCTACCCTGGGCAAGGGCAAAGTCAGGGAACACCACTACTGCCCCCCAATTTTGAGCCTCTGGAACTACACGGATCTGATCCGTGCATCCGGGATCGTCAGGACAACTGGAGGATCCGGGCAAAGTTGACCCTGGAGTCTGGATCTCTTTGGTTTACTTCTCAAGGGCCTCCCCTGGAGACAGGGCCCCGAGGCCGGCTTCCCCCCACACTCCCCGCCCCGACTCCCCCCCCAGGCTCTTGCCCATGAACCGCCTCCATGCAAGCCCGCGCCTCGGCAACTTCTAGGGCTAAGCCAGGTGTGGGGGCCATTTCCGCCTCCAGACTGCCCTCGTCGGAGAAAAATCCTCCGGCTTTCTATCTTCAGGGCCACGCCACCCACGTTTGGGACGAGACCAAGGAGTCGCGGGCTCCATTTTCGCCTCCTACGAATCTCACTCACAAGAAAGGCAGGGGCCCGGGGCAGGCGGAGACCGTGGCACTAAAGAGCCCCAGTTTGAGAAGGGAGCCAGGGGCTCCGCGCCGAAGTTTGCAGCGCTAGGGAGCGCTAGTCTGGGAACGGGGTGCCGGCTGCGGGGGCTTACTTCGTAGATGGCGGTGAGATCCATGGCGGCGCGGGCGGCCAGTCCGGTGAGAGTTGGGCCGAGAGAGCGGTGGAGTCCGAGGCTGAGTCGGGGCGAGAGAGCTGGCTTCTTATAGGATGCAACCGGGGCGGGGCCCGGCGGGGCCGAGGCCAGCAGGGCGGGACCACGAGGGCGCTTCCCGGACGCACGCCCCCGGCGCAGGCCGCACCAGCCCTGGACTAGCCCCCTTCCGCCGGCCCCCAGCCGGGGACTGCGTGGGGTGGGGGGTGTCGGCTCCGTTTTCCAGACTAGAAACTAAGGCGCGAAGAAAGGAACTGTGGGTGGGGTGGGGGCAGGGCCAGGGCCCTGGGAGGAATTGACAAGGGACAGACAGACAGACACAGAGGGTGCGCGTGCGTGTGTGCGACACAGACGGACAGACAGACATGTAGAGGGAGAGACGGCGTAGCGACAGACATACAGACAGAGATGGAGACACACACATACAGGAAGAAATACACACTGAGAAGGAGAGACAGGGTAGAGGGGAAGTGCGGAGACAGACAAGTGTCATGAGAAGTGAGATGGAGACGTTCGCACAAAGAAACAGAAAAACCGTGATAAACACACCTAGAGGGACACACACACTAGGACGGAAAAACGTGGAGATGAGACCCACCGGCCTGGAGAACTCTTTTCCCAGACCTGCCCACAGGTTCACTTCCAAGTAGCACAGACCCGGACCTGGGCCATCGCCCCGTCCCCACTCAGGGAGGCTGGGGGTGTGGGTGACTCCTGGATACCTGTTGAGGCTGGTAAGGGGCCTCCTTTCCCAATTCACAGGCCCTGTGTAGCCCTTCACCCTCTCGCAGGTGATGACACTTGTAGGTCACCTCTGGAAGGGGCACTCTTCTAAGCGCTTTATATACGTTAACCTCAGCACAGCCACAAGCCAGCTAGGTGTTAATGTATCTATTTTACACAGGAGGAACAGGCTGCACAGAGAGGTTGAATTACACCCCTAGCTACCCACTAGTAAGCCGTGGCAGCCCAATACCAGTTAAATTATGTGTAGGGCTTTGCTTTCTGAGAAAATTCTTGAGACTGAAAGGGGGAGATAATATTTTATTATGGTGGATGGTTGCTTCGACTGACAGATGTTTTGGAATGGACAAAATGAGTCACCCCCAACTGATGTCTGGATGGGACTCATCATGGGGTTCGCCTTGGGAACCCCAATTTTTCTGGGATTATTCCCCACATCTGCCAGTCTCTTATTATGAGATGGTTCCCCTGAGTGTCAACTTTCTCAAGATCCGGGAAGGAAACTTGTTTTCCAAGGCCCTGAGAAGAAGAAGGGCAGTGGTCAAGGACTGAGTTGCTGCGGGGGGTTGGAATCCACGAACCGCTCCGCAGGAGAAAGACGTGGCAGTAAGTTCCCTAAAGATCACAGCCTTGGAGACCCTATGGGGCAGTCGGAATCCACTGGATAGAAACGGGTCCGGCCCTGGGGGGGAACGGGGAAAGGAGAAAGAAATCTTTCTGAGTGCGGCTATAATGGTGGAAAGTTCATTCCTGCAGACTGCTGCCGCGGGCTTGCGCTGAGGTGGGGAGACGGGAGACTCTGCGCCGATCCGCTCCTCAGAGCACGGGGGGAATCCCTGGCGCGGCGCCTTCTGGGCCCGAGGGACCTTCCCAGGCCGGTCCCGTGAGCAGGGCCGCTGCGGGCGGCTGTGGCACGGTTGCGGCCTCCTGCTCGTCTGTGACTCACTTGCAAGGGGCGGGGGAGAGGGGGCTTCCTGGAAGCCGTGACGAGGAGGCTCGGCCGGACGCCCGGGTTCCTATCCTGTAACCAGGGCTTCTGTCTTCTGTAAACAGAACCTCCAAAACAACGGGAAAGGGGGGGTTGCCTGGGACCCCTTCCCAGCAGAGCTCCAAAGCCCGGTACCGCTAAAAGGACAAAAGCTGGAAAACATGGGTCGGGGCACCCTAGGGTCTCCAGGGCTCGGCTCTACTCTGGCCGCGGTCCTAAAGGAGGAATCCCAGTTTCGATTCCCTGGAGACAGGAGCGTTTCCCACCCCTGAGTCAGGCTGTCCCCTTCCCATCCCCCATCTGCTGAGTCATCCCTCCCGAAAGCCGGGACGCTGGGGAATGAGCCCCAGAGGCTGAAGAGGGTCTCTGGGCGCAGACACACCGAAGCCCCCTTCCCCAAAGACGGACTGGCGGGACCCAAAGATCCGGACCTCAGCCCCTCCGCGCGCAAGACTCCGGGTCCCCAAGCAACCGCCTCCCTCGGACCCGGGAGTCCGGGCCTCCAGGCCCCTCCCGCCCCAGACCCGGGAGTCCGGGCCTCCAGGCTCTCTTCGCTCGGACCCGGGGATTCGGACTCACAGTCCGCCTCCCGCCCCCGGCTCGGACCCCGGAGTCTGGGCACCCACCCCCCACCCGGGCTCAGCGTCCCAGCCCAGGAGGAAGTTCACGCGGGACTCCTCCCCGCTCCCCACGTAGCCAGCGGGAAAATCCGCGGCTCGAGCGGCGCCCGGGAACCCCCTCTGGAATGATGTTGGGGAAGGGGACGGCCGGGGTCCCCCGCCCGGCCGCGGGGGGCAGGTCCTGGGCGGGCTGGGGCAGAGGAGAAGGGGCGGAAACCAGAGAGGCTAAAAATACAGCGAACACTTCCGGCGTAGGGGGAGGGGAACGGAGAGCAGAGTTTCCAGAAAAACAAGCGGGGACGGGAAACGCGGGGGTGTGAGAGCCGTGGCGAGTGCGCGGGCGACCAGGAGGCCGTGTACTCGCAGCACGTGTGCCTGTGCCGTGTGTGCGCCTGGCGTGATTGACTGGGTGTGAGCCGAGGGTGGGGCTGGCTGTGTGCGTCTGGGTGTGCGACTGCGGGGTGGGGGTAGGGGTGGGGGCGTGGGACAACCGGTGTGTGTGCACGCGACGTGTGAAGAGTGCGCTGCAGGTGCAGCGGTGTGTACCCCGGCATGACCGACTGTGTGAGACCTGGGAGCCTGGGTATACAATTGGGGAAGTAGTTGTGGGACACAAGCGTGCCCAGTGCTGTGGGTGCATGTGACATGACTGTGTGAATAAGTGTGTGAAACTGCTTCTGCCTGTGCGGTTGACCATACTGTGTATACTTCAGATATCTCTGGATGTGGATATACACTCACCTCTAACTGTATGTGCAACCATCTGAAGTGGTGACCGTGAGAACGGGCGACTTACAAGACCTACCTGCATATCTGTGACTGTGTGCCACTGCAGTCTCTGGGGTGACTGTGTGTGTGTGTGTGTGTGTGTGTGTGAGACTCCTTGAAGGTGCCCTCAACTTTGTATAACTGTGTACAACTGTGTGTGTGCCACATGGGGGGGGACACAGCGGTGTAGGGTGTGACAGGGTCTGTGCACACACACCTTTGAGTTGTGTAAGTGCACCCATCTGTGTACGTGCAGCTGTGGCTGTGTGAATAGTGTTCACATGTCTGTGTCCTTATTTGTGGGTGTCACTAAGACAGCCATTAGAACATGGTAGGCCAGCCTCTGGTTGTGGTTCCTCTATGGCCCAGTCACAAGGCAGTGAAACCCGTGAACTTTGGTTTCTGACGTCTGCAGCATGCGTGATGGGGAGGCGGCTGGCGGGGAGGGCAGACCCCAACCCTGTCGCTATTGGTGTGTCTGCCTCTGTGGGCAGAGCAGACGCGCACATAGGCACCTGAGAAGCTGGGGCAGTGTCTCTGCTCAGCCTTATCTGTGCCAAGGGACGCTGCTTTTGATAGTGCTGGGCTGAGGGCAGGGCTGAGTCAGCCTGTGATGGGCAAAGTCTGTGATGGGGTGAGAGATAGCGGGCTAAGTGCTGGTTAGAGGGTTGTTTGTGTACTCATGTGGTTGGATGATTCCCTTGAAGAGGCTGGTTGTGGGACTGCCACTGGGGGCACCATGGTTGTAGGATGGTGGGTCATGCCACCTACCCTCTTTTGAGATGGGGTGGTACACATGTCCATCCATCCCCATTGTCTTTTGCCCAAAGGGGTAGCTGTGTATCTCATACACCCCCACCCTGGAGTATGTGGTTGTGTACCAGGCTGGTGGACAGTCTCCCACCTGAAGCTAATAACCTAGGAAGAGTAAAGCCCTTTCCAAGGCCCTCCATGATCTGCTGCGACTTCCTGTACTAATCCCGCCCCCTCACTGTTAAATAAACACACCAGTACATTCCTGCCACAGGGCCTTTGCACTTGCTCTTCACTTTGCACTGCACTTCCCTCTCTGAGGAATGCTCTTTTCCCTGCATGTTCACATGGCTTACTCCCTCTTTGAAGTCTTTGCTCCAATATCGCCCCAGTGAGGCTTTTCTTAATCTGTCAGAGATAGGTACATATATATACATGTAAATGTTGTTGTTATGTGCCATTGAGTCGGACCGATTCATAGTGACCCCTCCTTGGGTTTCCGAGGCAGTATCACTACGGAAGTAGATTGCCCCATCTTCCTTCCGAGGAATGGCTGGTGGGTTTGAACCACCAGCCTTCTGGTTAGCAGTCAAGTGCTTTAGGCACTATGCTACCAGAGCTCCTATACATATACATACATACATATATAAACATGTTTTAGATAATAAGCTTATTTTACAAGAAAATACATGTAACATTTAGAGACCATAATAATTAATATCCATGAAACCATTACCCAACCTAAGCTCTCAAATTTAACTGTTTTTCAACAGACTAACAATCTTCCACATGCAAATCTTGCATTAATTACACTTATTACTAAAGTCCAACTTTTTTTCTTTTATAAATCTCCATTTTGTTAAAAAAAATGTGATTTGGGTAAAAGTTTACAGAGCAAACCGTTTATTTCATGACATTGACTGCAATTCCCTACAGTGTAACAGCTCTCTTCCCACTTCCTCCCTGTAGTTCCCTCTTTCCTGGGACCTTCTTTAATATGCATTCCTGCCCCTTGAACTATCTCCCTGTGCAAATGCTGCCCTCCCCTCCATGATTGATCATTCTAAGGAGTGTATCTACCTGATATAAATGTTCACCCTATATACCTGTCTGTTGTTTGCTGGAAGCCATGGGAGTAAGTTCAATTCCAGACCTGAAGGGTAACTAGGTGCCATAGTCACAGGGGTCACCCCAGGCTCTTCCAGATCAGTAAACCTGGTCTTTTTTATGATTTTGTTCCGCATTGTTCTCCCACTCTATCCAGGTTCTTCCGCACTAATACCTTTCCGTGTGGTTGACAGTGGTGGCCAGGCACCATCTAGTTCTTCTGGTTTCATGATCTGAGCTGAGGTTCACTTTGGTCCTTTGGACTAATTGTTTCCATGTATTTTTGTTTTTCTCCATTCTTCTTTAGGAGCTCTGGTGGTGTAGTGCCTAATGAATTTGACTGCTAACCAGAAGGCTGGTGGTTCAAACCCACCAGCCACTCCTCAGAAGAAGGTTGGGCACTACTTCTGTAGTGATACCGCCTCGGGAACCCAAGGAGGGGTCACTATGAGTCGGGTTCAATTCGATGGCAGTAAGTTTGGTTTTTGGTTTTCATTCTTCTTTGCTCTGTGCAGACAGACCCATTGTTGCATCTAGATGGCTGCTTGCAAGCTTTTAAGACCCCAGTTGCTACTCACCAAAATGGGATGTAGAACAAAGTTTTTGTATTGTATGTTATGCCAGTTGAGTTTGATGTCCCCCACCCGAAGCCCTGGTCCAACTACTCACTCCCTCAGGGTGGTTGGCTGTGGCTAAGGAACTATCATAATTTTGCCCCTTGTTAGCTCAATTGGGAGTTCTGGTGGCATACTGCCTAAAGCATTTGACTGCTAACCAGAAGGTTCGCAGTTCAAGCCAATCAGCCATTCCTTGGAAGACTGGGCAATCTACTTCCATAGAAATACCGTCTCAGAAAGCCAAGGAGGGGTTGCTATGAGTCAGAATCAACTTGATGGCAGTGAGTTTGGTTAATTCTATTACATATACGGACATTCTTCCAGCATATATACGTATGTAGAAATAACGTCTGCCAACCTTATATATTGCAGCCAGAATACTCCTTGGAAGCGAGAATGGCCAGACTTCATCTTACTTTGGTCGTGTTGTGAGAAGGGACCATTCCTTGGAAAGGCTATCGTGCTTGGTCAAGTGGAGGGTCAACAGAAAAGGGGAAGGCCCTCAACAAGGTGGACTGACACAGTGGCTACGATGATGGGCTCAGGTACAGCAGGGATTGTGAGGCTGGCACAGGACTGGGCAGTGTTTTGTTCCATTGTACATGGGGTCACTAAGAGTCAGAGATGACACGACGACACCAAACCACCACATGTACGGTCGTGGGCATATTCCCTTTTGCCTACACATTCTTCATCAGTCAGCCTGTCTACCCATCTGTTTACCCATAATAAATTTCCATTTCTGATCTCACTTCTCTATTTTCCTTCTTGGGACATTGTGCCATCTGATCCATGTGTATTACTCTATCGTGTTTATTGTCCTTCGCTAAAGCATCAGCTCCCAGTCAGGGCTCTTTGTACTGGGCCTGACCAACACTAGATCCTTGGGAAACGCTCGTTCAGTGAACACAGCTTCCTGGTGCCGTCTCGCCCTGTGCCTGGCTGTTGAGCTGTGCACCTGCCCCTTTGCCCGCCCCTCACTGTGGCTGTCTTCCCCCAGGTGTCGTTTTAAGCATCACTGACCTTGGACCACGGGTGGTGGGGAGGTGCACCCCTGCCTGTAAGGTGGTTGTGTCTCCTCTGCCCTTGGAGGTTCAGCTGTCCCTGTCTTTGTGTGCATGCCCTGGGATCACCACACCTCCACCAGTATGTGGCATGTACCCTCCAGGGTGGGCTCTGCTGGGGAGAGGGTTAGTGTGTGTTTGGCTGTACACCGGATAGTTGCATCATGGTAGGCAGGTATATGGCTCAGTTGTACTTACTGGGAGACTACAGATGCCAACGGTGGGTTATGGTAGTTGTGTATGTCAGCCTGACTGGACTACAGTCCCCAGTTAAACACTAATCTAGGTGTTGCTGTGCAGGTATTTGGTAGTTGGGAGTAAAGTCCACAGTCAGTTGCCTTTAAGTAGGGAGATCATTGTAGATAATGGGGATTGATTTCAGTCATGAGCAAAGCTAAGGTTCCCAGAAATAAATAAATCCACCTATGGATACACAGATGCTTCAACTTGTGCCCAAGAGTTCTAGCCAGCCTTCCTGATGGCCTGCCCTACAAGTCCTGGCTTTCAAGGAAAGACAAGGGGAAGGGATTTCCTGGGATGTACATGTGTGTTCACACACACACACAGCTGGTCATCTTCTAGGTCTCCACTGTGTGGACCTGGGCTCCAGGTCTCTCTGGTTTTGGAGTTCCTTGCAGATGTGGGGTCCAGGACAGGAGACCAACCAGTCCTGATGGGCAGGAACATGGGAACCAGGGCACAGAAGATGTTGGGTGGGGCAGTCCCAGCAACCCCGCTGAGTCACTTGGGCCTTTCACACCCCAACAGCTGGGCTTGGGCTGGCAGCTCCACCCTGCACTTGCCCAGGCCTGAAGGCCAGGGCTGAGCTCCCTTGAAGCTCTTCAGGGAGCAGGGCACTTGATAGGGCATTCCCTCCCAGAAGCCCCCTCCCCAAGGCTTGCTTCCCAGAACTGCGGCCCAGGGGCCTGGGTCCTTCCCCAGGACCGATGATTCATGGCCTTTTCACTTCTCCTTTGGGGCTAAAAATATAGGGACCCAGGCATCCAGCCGAGCCAGGCCTCACCACAGATTGCACAACGCCCTTGGTTTGAGCGCTGCTGACGCAGGCCTGGGTGCGAGCGGGGGCCTGGGCTGCTCCCCGACCAGGCGTGCTGAGGTCAGGGCCTAGGCTGTTCCACTTCCCCTTTCTTGGGTCAAGGATCCTGGGGGCTGGGCTGCCGTGGGAGGTGGGGGGACTCTGGGTTTGTCTGTACTTCTTGGATATGGAGTCTTCCTGCAGCCCCAGGTAACCCAGGTGTCCAGGATCCCAGGCTCTGGCCTCTTTTGAAGACATGGAGCCTTAGTTAGGGATTAGCAGCAGGAGGTGGCAAAAGGGGACTGGGAAAGAGAGAGAGAGACAGAGAGACACAGAGATAGTAGCAGAGAGACAGTACAGACAGAGGAACAGCTAGAAAAAGACGACCATCCCTGTCCATTCCTTAGTGGGACAAGATCAAGAAAGAGGAGTGGCCCAGCCAGGGCTCTACACCAGGGCCAGGTTGGGGGTGGCCTCTGGAAACAGAGAAGGCATTAACACTCACAGTCCAAAGTCCACTCGCTTGGGAGAGGAATACGTGGGTGGGAGCCTTGGCAGCCGGTTGGCAGGCCTCTGCTGCCCCCTGCTGGCTCGGAGGGTAGGAAAAACAGAGACCAGGCTGCTTAGGGATGTTGTTGTTGGCTGCCACTGTTAATTCCCCAGGTCTGACTGGCCCACCGCCTCCCCATGCCTCCACCCCCAGTTCAGAGTGTGCCCCCAGGGCCTGTAGGTGGTGCAGGGGTCTTGCCCGTGACCTTGTTGGCGCAGTCCAAAAGGGCGGTGTGAATGTCTTTGGCACAAGCAATCTGAGTTTTGATAACTGCCAGGTACTGAGGGTAGGGCAGGCTGTCGGGCTGTACTGCGTCCGGTTTGGTGGCCGTGGGCACCAGCGTTGGAGAGTGCTTGGCACTGTCACAGCTCTGCGACAGGCATTCATGAGCCAGGCGCTACAGGCAGGAAGACAAGGATATGGTGTCACTCTCATTCCCAGTACTCCAACCCCAGCCCAAGGCTAACCTGGAGTGTAGCCCACTTGGCTGGTGCCCCAGGGTCCTGGAGTCAAAACCTGGCCCTGCCCATCACTTGCTGGGTGACCTGGAGCAGGTAAATGACTGTGAGCCTTTCCTCCTTTAGAAAATGGGCTGAATGGCCATCTCTGCCTACCTGCAGAAGCGAGACCAGGTATGTGAGACAGCGGGGCACAGGTCACGTCCACCATTTAAGTACTAACTAAGGAATTGAGCTGCTCCTATCATTTTTCTCATGACTGAATCCTGACCTCAGGCTGGGAACTGCCAGTGGCCTCTGTGATGGCACCCTGCTCTCCTGGTTTCCCTTGCTGCTTCCTCTAAGCACTTCTTACTCGAGCTTCAAGTACAGCACTGCCTGAGCTCATACCTCACACCCTCCCCAGGTGGCCTCATGCCCCCACATCAGTTCCCACCTCTACACCAATGCTCACATCTCTGTCCCCAACCCTGGCCTCTCCTCACATGCCCCAGGGCGTTCACATTCTCTCCTCAAACCACTCCTCCTCCTCCTGGGTCCCCCTGTTGCAGTCAGCCTTGACCTTGCAAGCAGAGCCTTGGACCTCATCTCCCCAAATGCCTGGACACCAGGCCTCTTGAACATCTCTCCCACCTGCCCTTCCTCATGGTCCTGCCTGGCTGTGCCTAGACCTAACCACCTGGATCCTGCCATGGCTGCCTCTGTGGGCTCTCAGAGACTGGAGGCAGTCTTAGCCCTTCTAACCCATCCCTCATTTGGCAGCCAGAGGGATATTCCTAAAGAACAGATGGGTCCATGTTCTTTCCTGTGTGATGAAACCCTCCGTGGCTCCCTAGTGTCCTATGGCCAGGTTCAATCTCCGACAAGCCCCAGTGGTTACCAGCCACTGGGTTTCTTGAAGTTTCCAAAGGGAACTTCAAGCAGAAGCTGTTCTTTCTGGCTGGAACACTCTTCTGCCACTACCAGGCTTCTTAGGTTCTGACTTCTCCATCAGAATCTAGTCCAAAATGGTGATGATGGGTGATGGTGATGGTGAGGATGATGATGCTGTAGGAACCACCACATGCCTCACGCCATGTTATGGATTTTACAAGTATGACCTTGCCAATTCTCTGAAACTCCATTTTCCCAAGGAGGAACCCAAAACACAGAGGATCCAATTGATGGGTTGGGGATTCAGACACAGCCTGATTCGAAGCCACACTCTTGGCCACCTCCCCTGCCCTCAATCTGTGTCCCTCTCCCATTCTTTCCTCCAGCTTCAGCTCACATATGCTACCAGTAGCCTTCTCTGAACCATCCCGCCACCCCCACCCCCAGCCCAGGCAGGTCAGGTGGCTTCCCCAGTCCCCTGAGATTCCCTCATTTGAATCCCTGACCCCCCCCTGCCTGTGCCTCTGGTCCCAGCCTGATTACTCCGGGCTGTCACTATTCGGGGATATAGTTGTCGCCACACTAGACTAGAAAATTCTGTGAGGGCAAGGATGACAGCAGTCCCAGCACTGAGTGAAGCACAGGTCTGGTTTGGAGGCGGTGCTCCGTGTGTGCTCCCTGGCTGAATGAAGGTTGCCGAGCACTCAGGGGACTCAGCATGGCGGTGCTCACTCAGCGTCTGGGAGGCCTCTTACCAGGCAGAGCTCCAGCTGGTCACAGAGTGCGTAGAACTCCTCCAGGCACTTGTCAAAGCGCTGTATGGGTCCGTCGCTGCTCTTTCTACAGCCCAAAGAGAAGTGAGTAATTGAGTAAGGGATCTCCAATCTTTGGGACACCAGGAACGGGCCTAGGAGACTGAGGCGGGGACTAGGGGTCAGGTAGTAGAGGACACAAGGGTGAGGTGAAGCTAAGGGGCTGGGCTTGAAGATAGGAGGAAGCCTAGGCAGAGAGATGAGGGGCTAGGACTGAGGTAGAGATAGGTCACCCCCGGGAAAGGGGGCTGCACTCACTGTCCGTTGTCAATGTTCGTGTTCTGAATCAGGTTCTGAGCTGCAACCTTCATCAAGGTCTGGTTTAAGGGGAGCAGGGGAAAGGCGAGAGAGATGGAGAAACTGAAGGGGACGCGCTTGGTAGATCGACACCCTTAAGACCCACCCACTCTTCTTCATTGGGCACGTCCTCTCTCGACTCTGCAGATTAACGCCTGCTTTCATACGTAATCACTAGCCGCAGTTTCCCCAGTAACCTCCCAGACCTCCCTTAGGATCCTCCCTCACACACGGATCAAAGGCAGAATCGCCGTACAATACAGGCCTCTCCTCAGGCTTTAGCCACCAGAACCCGGTTTCTCCTTTAAAATCTTTCCCACTCGAGTTCGGCCAATCCCAGGCTCAGGATGTGCGCGGGTCCCCACCTCGCAATGTCCGCAGAGCTCTGCTCTGGTCTCATTCCTCTTGCCTACCCAGCGCTCCTTCTGCTTTCTCCCGGATCAAACAGCCCTTCAGCCCGCCCGCCCTCTGGGGTCAGACAACTCCATCCCGCTTGCTCCTCGCAGCTCCCGGGCCAATCACCTGTAGACTCTCCTTCAGCTGTGGGATGAGCATCTTATAGCGCTGCACGGGATCGAAGTCCTGCTGCTGCTGCTGCAGAAGCCCGCTCTGGGCAGGCCCCACTAGTTGTGCCGGCGGCTGTGGCTGCTGCTGCTGCGCACCTGGGCCGCCAGCCGAGCCTGGACCCGACACACCAGCGGCTGAAGAAGCCGTGGAAGGAGGTTGCTGGGGCGCAGCCATCTTCTTCACTTACCACGCCGGAAGTGCGCCAAAGAGCGTCTCTCTCTCTCTCTCTCTCTTTTTTTTTTTTTCTTCAGCATTGCCCAAATTTCTAAGCCTTTTGCTAGTTAGCTCCGCCTCCCAAACGGTTCGGCCAATGGCAGGAATGGGGGTTTCCACCTTCCATCAATTAGAATCCGAAACCTGACGTCCAGACTGAAGTACCTTCCCACCAATCACAGGAGGCCATTCTTCCCTTGCTCCGCCCTCCGTCCAGCCGCTCGCCAATCCGGGTGTGGGTCCGATTCGGACTCTCTTTCCCTGAAGGCTTCGCGGCGTGAGGCGACGTCGGGTCCTCAGAGTCTTGGCGGCAGTTGGTGGAGCCGGAGCTGGGAGTCCGTCCTCGGGGTTGCCTGCGGGTTTTCCTGCGCCTCGCCTGGAACTCTTCTCGTCAGCGTACCTCATTACGGCCCTCTCACTCCCCACGGAGAGCGGCGCCAGCTCAGTCTGGCCTCGGATCAGGCGTCCGCCGAAGTCGGCACGCCCCTCCGCATCTCCCCGCGGCACAGCCAGGACCCTGTCCAGGCCGTTGTTGCCTTGTCGCCATGGCGCCCACTATCCAGACCCAGGCCCAGAGAGAGGATGGCCACAGGTAGGCGCCACGTCGCCTTGCGGTTCCCTTTTCCCTTGAAGTTTGGCGAAGCGCGGCGGTCTCGCCACAGGAGTGTGCCCGTGATGTCACGGAGCGCTCACCTTTGGCGAAGGGAGCGGGGATGTTGCCCCCTCCTCTGCCTCTTTTAGGCTTTGACCATTTGGAGACTTTCTCCAAACAGGATTGTTTTTAGATCTCCTCAATAAAGCGTTTGGAGACCCCGCTTTGAAAAACGATTGAGTGTACGTGGTTCTTTTTACTCAACTTGGAAGACGCTCTCAGGAAGGAATTATTTGGCCTCATCCGTTATGGCCTTTTGACACTTGGCTCGCCACTTAAAACACTTGGAGACACCAGTTTACACACTTAACTCTCTTCTCCCCTTGTAAAAGCTTGGAGAAGCCCCTTCCTCTCTCCTGTCAATCCCGTCTCTCCATCTTCCTCTCAGTATGTCTCTCTCTCTCCCCCACCAGGCCCAATTCCCACCGGACTCTGCCTGAGAGGTGAGCCCTACTGTACTTTCTAAAAAGGGGTGGGGCTGCGCGCTGGGAGCAGAGGTGGGGCTTCAGGGGCCCGGTTTTGAGCTATGTGTTCCCAGGTCTGGAGTGGTTTGCCGAGTCAAGTACTGCAATAGCCTCCCGGACATTCCCTTCGACCCCAAGTTCATCACCTACCCTTTTGACCAGAACAGGTGAGACTTAAGATCAGAGATGGGGGAGCAAGTCTCTAGAAATTGAATTGCTTGAGGGCAGGGACTGCCTCTGTCACTGACTGCGCTTTCCTTAGGGCCAAGAGTGAGTAGTTGGTGCTTAATAAACACATTAGTGGAGCAAGTAGTGGTTCTTCCCCTTGGGGTGCCAGCCCCCAGCATTGGGAGGGACACTCCATTATGAGTTCCTTCCCAGAGAGAAGCATAGCCTCTAGTGAGAGGTAAAGCTAGAATCAGGAAATCAGAACAGGCATGTTTCCCCACCCAGGTTCGTTCAATACAAAGCGACTTCCTTGGAGAAACAGCACAAACATGACCTACTGACTGAGCCAGACCTGGGGGTCACCATCGACCTCATCAACCCTGACACCTACCGCATCGACCCCAATGGTGTGTGGGGAGGTGGGAGGGTCTGCTCTAGACAAGCAAAGTCCAGGCCGGCCTCCCTCATGATCTCCTTGATCCCCTTGCTCTCCTCTAGTTCTCTTGGATCCGGCTGATGAGAAGCTTCTAGAAGAGGAGATTCAAGCCCCCACAAGCTCTAAGAGGTGAGGGGGTGCCGAGGGAGTGTTGAAGGCTGGCCTGGATGGGATGTCCAAGCAGGAGGGCGGTGAGGTTCTGAGGGCCCTGATCCTCCACCCCAGATCCCAGCAACACGCAAAGGTGGTGCCATGGATGCGGAAGACAGAATACATCTCCACTGAGTTCAATCGTTACGGCATCTCCAATGAGAAGCCTGAGGTCAAGTAAGATGCAGGTCAAGTAAGATGGGTAGGGAGAGAAGGTGGGGAGTTTAGGTGCCCCACAGCCCCTGAAGGGTTCTGTCTGCACTCCTAGGATTGGGGTTTCTGTGAAGCAGCAATTCACCGAGGAGGAAATTTATAAGGACAGAGATAGCCAGATCACAGCCATTGAGAAGACCTTTGAGGATGCCCAGAAGTCGGTAACTGAGGGGCTGGCATGGGAAGAGGCAGAGAAAGGTGTGGCTCCAGAGCTTGCCGTCCCCTTCACCCTGTTTCTGTCCCCACCAGATCTCCCAGCATTACAGCAAGCCCCGAGTGACACCAGTGGAGGTCATGCCTGTCTTCCCAGACTTTAAGGTCAGATCCAGGGTGGCTGGTAGAGTGAAACAGTCACCACAGGAGGTGGGCCAGGATCAAGCGTCCCGTACCTGCCCATTCCAATCTAACCCTAGTGTTCGCTCTCCTCCCAGATGTGGATCAACCCATGTGCTCAGGTGATCTTTGACTCAGACCCAGCCCCCAAGGACACGAGTGGTGCAGCTGCATTGGAGATGATGTCTCAGGCTATGATCAGGTAAGTGGCCCTGCTGCCCACCTGACCTGCTTGACTGACCCTTTGTCCTCTGTGTTCACCACTCCTCTGCTTTCCCCAACCAGGGGCATGATGGATGAAGAAGGGAACCAGTTTGTGGCCTACTTCCTGCCCGTGGAAGAGACGTTGAAGAAACGAAAGCGGGACCAGGAGGAGGAGATGGACTATGCACCAGATGATGTGTACGTGTTGGGGTTAGGTTCAGGGACTGGGAAGTGTCGTCTTCTCCCTCGTAGGGAAGGAATGGGGTTGATCTTATATCCTCATCCTCAGGTATGACTACAAGATTGCTCGGGAGTACAACTGGAACGTGAAGAACAAGGCTAGCAAAGGCTATGAGGAGAACTACTTCTTCATCTTCCGAGAGGGTGATGGGGTTTACTACAATGAACTGGAGACCAGGTACCCAGCACACTTCTATTTTGGATTAGTTTGGGCCTGTATGTCCAATCCCCGGGCATTATGAGGGCCAACTTGGGGTCATTTGTATCTAAGGATTTGTCATGTACACTTGTAACCAAGAGTGGCAGAAGCATGCTCACCCGTGTGAGCTGGCAGACAGCTGTCACATACGCCTCCTGGCTGCCGTGCAGTCAGCCCGACTTGTGGCTGTGCCACACCCAACAGAATGGAACAAGAAGCTGTGATCCAGAGCTCTCACTGGCTGCTTCTGAAGATCGCCAGGCCTTTCTTCCTTTGTGTAGGGCAGATGGCCAGACCTCCCAGTGTTAGTAAGACTTCACATGGACGTTAAAACAGCCCAAGTACTGAGTGATTGAATTAATGTGCATGTTTTAAAGGAAACACTGGGATACCAACTTAAAAAACGTGACTCCAGAATTCTTCCTTGATGGCTGGAAGTTCACTGCTGTGTGAGGGCACTTGGTCAAAGGGTTGGGAAAGCATGACCCTGAGTTTGCATTTAAAGCAGGTTCACTAAATATGATCTGTGAGCCAGGCAGCAGTGTACTAGGGTCTGGGTAACCTGGAGCTCTTGGCAACCTCCAAGGGGTACCCTCATTGGTCCTATGCTGTAGTGGGGCACAGAGTCCCAATAGAGCTATAGATTCTATTTTCTAGAAGCCAGAATTCTAGATTAGGTGAGAGCCCTGGCTTTTTAAATGGTGGTAATTAATTCATATTAAACAACAGTGCAGGGTAACCAGATTGGTACTTTGGGAGCTATCATCCTTGTCTTCTGCCTCCAAACCCTGAATTTTAACCTCCCTTATTCTGTCTTATCTTTACTCTGGCCAAGCACTGATGGGCAAGGCAGACCAGACCCCTCACTCAGGGTCTTTAACCCCATCCTTTGCATGCCTCCCCTCCAGGGTTCGCCTCAGTAAGCGTCGAGCCAAGGCTGGTGTTCAGTCGGGTACCAACGCCCTGCTTGTGGTCAAACACCGGGACATGAATGAGAAGGAATTAGAAGCCCAGGTAACAAGCACCATTCTTGCCCAGGGTGGCTGCAGGGAAGTTAGTGGAGGGCGATGAGAGGGACAGAGGCCTGCCTGTGACCCTCCCAATCCTGCCGTTTCCAGGAGGCACGGAAGGCCCAGCTGGAGAACCATGAACCTGAGGAGGAAGAGGAAGAAGAGATGGAGACAGAGGAGAAGGAAGCTGGGGGCTCAGGTAAACCTAGACAGACCAGACCCTGGCGGCCCTAGAAGGGTGGGAACAGGGAAGCCAGCTGGGTCTCACCTCCCTCTGCATCCTCACAGATGAAGAGAGGGAGAAAGGCAGCAGCAGTGAGAAGGAAGGCAGCGAGGACGAGCGCTCAGGCAGCGAGAGTGAGCGGGAGGAAGGCGACAGGGATGAGGCGAGCGACAAGAGTGGCAGTGGTGAGGACGAGAGCAGTGAGGACGAGGCCCGGGCTGCGCGGGACAAAGAGGAGATCTTCGGCAGTGATGCTGATTCCGAGGATGATGCTGACTCTGAGGAGGAGGACAGAGGACGGGTCCGTGGCAGTGACAATGATTCGGACAGTGGCAGCGAAGGGGGTGGCCAGCGCAGCCGCAGTCCCAGTCCCTTCCCCAGCGGCAGTGAGCACTCAGCCCAGGAGGATGGCAGCGAAGCTGCACCTTCAGATTCCAGCGAAGCCGACAGCGACAGTGACTGACTCCCTGGGCCTTAGGGCCGGTGCAGGCGCCATCATTAGGACCAGGAAGGCACTTTCTAGTGGTTGGTTTGTGAGCTCTTCACTTTGTCTGTACCCCCCATCCTACCCCAAACTTTTGCTGTTAATAAAGACAACTTCTTATCCCTCCTAGCCCCCGTGGTCTTGTTCTACCTGTTTCCCCATCCCAAGTGCTCAAGGACCTCAACCTAAGGCACAGAAGTAAAGGCTACAGGGGCAGAAGCGCTGGGTTTTCATCCCATGTAACATAACAAAGGTCAGAATCATTTTTGTTTTTTTTCTTTTTTTTTTTTTTTTCCAAAATAAGCCCAGACCATTAAACAAGTGAAACTCCAACAAATAAGTCTTCTCCAACAGCGAGCAAAACTGTACAGTTACTCAAAGCTGATTCTGCCAGTGGGGCTGGGGAAAAATGGGAGGGGAAGGGTAAAATCATGGTGGAGGGTCTGGGGCTGGGAAGAGGGCCGGGGCAAAGTTCGGGTCCTGCCCATCAGAGTGGGGCCGCCTGCGTCCTACACACTCTGCTGTCAGGGGGCTGGGTGAAGGGGCCAGCTCTTGCTGCCCTTGTGTGTGGGGAGTGTCCCTCACCACTTCCCTGTGCCAGGCAGAGCCAGTGCATCCTGACAGGTAGTGAACAGGATGGGACTGGCTGCAGGGAGGCGAGGGTCCCACAAGAGGGACACCCTACAGAATCCAAACGAGGTGGCCCCTGTCCCTCCCGCTTCCGGGGCTGGCGGGGGTGGGGCCAGAGATGCCCTGGGAGCTTGAGGGGAATGAGCAAAGGCACAGAAACATGGAGGGGCCGGGTGGGGGACTTGCATAGGTTGATGAGTGTGCAAGAGGTACATAAATAAACCTGACACCCCACCCAGCCCGGCACTGGGAGAGGAGGCGAGGACCTGGAGGCAGGTCCCCGGGGTTACCCCACCTCCTGGCTTCCTCCCCCTCCCTGGGCACAGAGCTGAGGGAGGTCAGACCCGAAGGTAGGGGGGGGAAGGTCTGGGGAATGGGGTGAGGGTGCAGGGAGGGCGGTGGTTTTAAAATTTTTTTTTTTTTGGTTTTTTGTTTTTTCCCAACATTTTGTATCTTTAATAACATACACAATGGTTACCAGCCATATTCATAACAAAAGTTATTCATAAAATGTATCTAAAAATAACATTTTTTTTTTTTTCCTTTTCGGTGTGAAAAGCTTGAGACTTCCCAGTGAGGGGGTTGGGTTGAGGAGGAAGAGGGGGCTGGAAAGGGGGGGGGACCCTGGCTTCCCCACAGTCTGAACCCCTGAATCCCCTCCCTCCACCTGGGCTCCAGCATAGCCCCTCAGTAGGAATAAGGATCAGAGATTGTATGACACTGGGGCTGGGACAAAGCTCGGGGTTACAATATAGTGTTCCACTTAAGAGAGGCCATGACATAACCAGGGTGGGGTGGGGGAAGGCTGAAAGAAAAGAGGGGTGGGGAAAGAAACCAAAAACCAAACCATCTCGTTTCCCTATTCCTTACCCCCCAGTCTCTCACCAGCCAAACCTGGGAGAAGGGGTGTGTGTTGGTGGGGAAGGGGACATTAAGGCAACAGACTTCCTGACCCCACTGGCTGGCCTGGTTTCCCCCTTCAACCTCTGTATCTAGGGGAGCCAGGGCTGCGGGGAATGAGGGGCTAGGGGGATCCGGAGGAGGGGGCTCTGCCCTCTCCCCTCATAAAGTTCAGGCTCCCCCTGCCACGGTCTTGGCTCAGAGAGAGGCCTGGGAACTGGGAATTCTAAAAATGAAAGGGAATGAGCAGAGAGAAAAACCGTTAAGAACTATATAAATATGTCTCTTAAATAGGCCTAAGAAATTAATTGTAGAGAACCTCTGATAAACAGGGCAAAAGGAGGTGAGAGGAAGGAAGGTAGCTCCTGTCCTCAAAGGATGGGTGGGGAAGAGGAAGAAGTGGGAGGAAAGAGAGGAGTTCCTCTTCTCACCCCACTGCTGCTCCCCAGCTCCTCTCAAATAATGTTCCTGGGGAGCAGGGAACTTCTCCCCAGTGTCCAATGTTTCTGAGCAGGCTCCACAAGGGAGGGGGTCAGTTTATCTCAGGGGATGTCTGCTCCCTTGGGGAAGAGCAAGTGGTCAGTGGTCTGGAGGAAGTGGGGATGGGAGTGGGTCACTCGGGGGATGAGGAAGGGAAGGGAGGGGGAGGCAGTCTGGCCAGTTCCTGCCCCCCTTTTCCTGGCTGGCCCCCTACCTCCCCCAGCCTCAGCAGAGATCCCGTGATGGGCCTGGGAGTAAGCATGGCGGGTGCCGATGTTACACAGAAGTTAAAAGGGTGAGAGAGTAGAAAAATATGAGAATGTATAGCTGAGCCAGCCCACCCTCGCTGTTGCGGAGAAGCCCGTTGGGGGTTGGCCCCCGCCCGCCGCCCCGGGAGCCTATGGGTGCGCTGGGCTGTGGGTCCTGTCAGATGGTGGAGGTTTTGTCTGTCCCATCTGTGGTGAGAAAAGGAGGAAGGGAGCAAGATCAGGAGCTGGTGGGAGGTCCAAGAACAGGCACTCAGGTAGCCTGTCATCCCAGTCAGGCCCTCCCTAGAGTCTGGCCCCCCCTAGGGACCCCTCAGGATGACTCTGAGGTGCTCAGTTCAGAGGTGAAGACGCTGGGCAGGTGGGAGCTGGGTCAAGGGAAGAGGAAATGCTCACCCCCCAAGGCGTGTTCTGTCATGCTCAGACACAGAGACTCCAGAGTGGGATTGATCTCCAGGTCAGGCCCAGGGACCGGGCAGTCTGGATGGAGAGAGAACGGAGATGGTGAGGCTGGGCTGGAGGAGGCAGCCAGGAAGACAAAGGCGGGGATGGCTTCATTCGGCAGAGTGGCTGAGATAAGAGGTATGTGTGTGAGGGAGACTTCTAGGGAGAAGGTGGGAGAGGCCAGAGGTGAACGGCAGAGAGACGAGGCTGGGTGCATCACAAAGCAGGCAGAGGAGACGAGGGCAGAGGAAGTGACGTGGAGCCGAGGCGGGGCTGCCTGGAGCCCAACTGTTTTGGACAGTCTGGGCATCTGCCCTACACCGGGCAGGCTCACACTCCCTGATTGATGACCTGCTAGGTACCTGGTGCGGGAGCTTAATTAAAACTGGTCCTGTCCCCACTGGGACTTGCCTTCTGGGAAGGTGGGGCAAATCAGGACAGCTGCCTCCCAAAAGGGCCTCCAGTTCCAGCATCTGGGCAGACTTGGCTCACCTCACGCTGCTTAACAACTTAACAACTTCTTTGGTTCCTCACTGCCACCAGGACTCCTCACCTCTCCAGCCTCACTTTTCTTCCCAGTCCCACCTGAACTAAGAGCCTCGGCTGTATCAGACCACCTGAAGGTCTCATCCTTCTTAAAAAAAAAAAAAAAAAAAAATTTTCTTTTCTTTCTAAACGTGCGCAAGTCACCTTGTTAAGTCTCAGCTTCCTGACTGACAAGATGGGAATGATAGCAGTGCCAAGGAGCCCCGGTGGCACGATGGTTAAGCGCTAAGTGCTGCGAACAGAAGAGTTAGTGGTCTGAACCCATCCAGTGACTCTGCAGGAGACAGACCTAGTGATCTGCTTCATGTAAAGATTACAGCCAAGAAAGACCTACAGGAGTTAACTGTCACTGGGGCTGCTATGAGACGAAATTGACTTGATGGCATCCAACAGCATCATCAGTGCCACCACGTATGCAGCTGGGAAGAGTCAACAGGACAAGACAGGAAAGCGGTCTGACACAGTGCCCAGCACATTTTTTCCTCCTACAGTTCATGCATCCATTCATTTAAGAATCATTTATAGATACCAAGGCTTGCGCTAAGATGCATATGATAGATCGGGTTCCCTGTCTTTTAACAATGCAATGTAATCTCATCAACTTAGAATCCCCACTGTTTATGACATAAAGAGCTTAGATGACCAGCAAATCTAAAGACCTCTCTCCAGAGGCAGCCAGTTCCAGAGCAGCCTCACCTGTCTCTGCACCCCCAGTGCCTAGCACAAGGCGAGGATCCCCCTTCGCTGCTGAGCACGGCAGGGACTTGTGGTCAGTGCTTCTCTAACCTCCCTTTTGCCACATTAGCTCCGATTCTGATTCCCCATCTCTGTGCTGGCCTGGAAACAGAGGTAAAACAGCTGTCCCACCTCAAACACCTTTTAGTGCAGAACCTGGTCTGAGAGCTGACGGCTACTGGATCCTGTGTGCTCCCTGTCTTCAGAAAGGACTCTGGTGGAGTGGATGGCTCAGGCAGGACTTCTCACCAGAGAAACCTCACTCCTCTACCCAGCCCATGTGCTCAACCTCTGACAAGCGACACCAAGACTGTGAGACAGGGAGGGAGAGATGTGAAAGGGTGGGGGAAGGGAGCGAGAAAAGATGCTTCAGAGAGAGAGAGAGAGAGAGAGTGAGTATAGGCAGAAGTTGAGAGAGAAAATTTAAACAGAGGGAAAGAGGGGGAAAAAAAAAAAAAGTATGAGAAAACCCAGGATGGGGGAAGTGGGTGCAGAGTGGTGGGCAGTGTGAGAGGAGATGCTCAAGCAGTGGAGATGGGACAGCGGGCCCTGAGGCCAGAGGAGCAGAGGATGGGCAGCCAGGGGTGGTGTCCGGGAGTCCCTTGGGTGGGGGCATCTCACCTGGAGGAAACATGAGAATGGCCTGGGGTGATGAGTGGACTGGGAGCGAGTGGGTGCGCTGCACGGAGCTGCGGCTCTGGCTGGGCATGCTGTTGCTGCCTCCAGGGTTGGCAAACCACAGATTCTGCACAGAGTGTAGGAGAGAAGCAGGGGGTCAGCAGCGGTGGAGGCCCAGGAATGACGGAGTGGGCAAGAGAGCCCTTTAAGCCCTTCCCTCTTAAGCCAGGTCCAGACGCAGGGCTACACGTATGGCTCAGGCACTGCCACCCCAACCCTGGAAACACCCCATGTTTTCCTGAGACGGCTCACCTGTCGGCCCTGGGCCCCAAGGCTGGGGCTGGTGAGGGCGTGTCGGGGGGAGACACCCCCAATGCCCGAGGGGCTCAGAAGGCCCATCCTGCTGGGCGGGAGGGCCCGGGGAGGCATGGGGAACTGCCGCTGGGTCCGCCGGGCCACCCCCATCCCCACAGAGCCAGCTATGGGGAGCGAGTTGGAGCCGAACGCCCAGCTGGAAGAGAGCAGAAGGCAGGGTGTCAGTTTAAGTGGCTGGGGTCCGTATGTCCACCCCTTCCTTGTGCCCCTGCCACACTAACGAGTAAGACAGAACACGAACCTCCTCTAAGCAAAGATTTCCTACTTCCTGAACATGTCCTTGCAACACAGTCTGTCTCCCTCTGACCCAAAGATGCCCCCCAGATGGAGATGGGGAGTACACAGGCTTCTGCACTGTCCACTCAAAAAAATTCTCCCAACTTCAGTTCCTTACTGTGGAATTTTTATTATTTGTTGGCGGTAGGAAGGGACTTAAGAACTTCTTGCAGACAGGCGAAGTGGGCAAGGTACAGGCAGGGACCTGCTACCGCGGGCACGTGCCGTTATTTGCCTGCTCAGCACCCTATGCTAGTGGTAAATGCCTCCTGGTTTTCTTCTGGGGAAGCATCCTGTCTTCACTGGGTGACCTGTACAGTCACCCATAAGAGGATGAGTACAGGCAGATTCCTAGGCTTTTAGCTACTGATCTGTCCACCAGCAAGGGCAGAGGCGGGAGGGCTCCGCACGCCCAGGCCCCCTGCGTACCCTTTCTGCTGCCGGTAGCTCTGCATCTCCAGGGCGGCTTTGCGAGGGAACGTCCGGAGGAGCTTCAGCACCTGCTGTTTCCAGGAAAGCAGTCTTTTCTTCTGTGTCTCCGTGAAAGCCTGCAACGGGGGAGGTGGCCTTCTTTCCCATCTGCCTCCCATTGGTCCAAAGATTGTTTGTATGCTCCGTGCTCACAGAGCTTACAGCTTGTTTGGGGGGAAGATACATAGGTAATTGTAACGGTGCTAAGTGCTGGGAGGGAGATGAACTAGCGTGAGGGGTTGGTGAAAATATCCCTGAGGTACAGATGTTTGAAATGAGAGCTGCAGGGTGAGCAGGAGGAAAGGACACTGTTCCCCAGAGAAGGAACATGTACAAAGGCCCTGAGAGGAGAAGAGCTCAGGAAGCTCAACACTGGTGAGGTGAGAGGCTGGTGAGGCGGGTGGTGCCAGGCCAGGCCAGGGCACCGTTAGACTGAGGAACTTTGGTCTCAAGAGGGATAGGGCATCTGGAGAAGGCCTCACCTCATGAGTCAGGCACTTTTCGATGAGCTGGAGGTAACTGGTGATGTTCTCCTCGTCTGGCCGGGACACCAGCAACTGGGTGCACACTGAGGATCATGGGAAAGGGGCAAGGTTAGCTCCCAGCCCGTCTTCTGCCATGTGCCGGCCTCCCTGGCCCCAGCTAGCTGGTACAGAAGGAGTGACAAGAAACTCAGGCTGGATAAACACCAACTAAGTGCCAGGCACCTGTACCTGAGTTATGAGTTAACAAGGAGATGGTAAAGCACCTTCCGTGGTGCCTGGCACAAGGCAGTTGAGAAGTCAGCACTTGTCTCAATTTAATTCTTACCAACAGCTTCATCAATATGGTTATTTTTAGCCTGAGGAATTTGAGGCTCAGAGAGGTTAAGTCACTGCCCCAGGTCACACAGCTAAAAGGATCTGGATCCAACTGTCTTAGGAAAGACCAAATCCCTTATGAGCTTTGAATACCCATCCTGTGGACTCTGATGCCCTCTGTCGGAGAACTGATGGATTCACCTTTCTGTTCACTAAACGAATTTCCGCTTAACACACTGTCCTATGTTCTGTTCAGGCGAGTCAGGGATATCTGCTTTGAGAGTCAGGGATATCTCCCATCATCAGCCTGGGTTCTGCCAGAGGGCAGGGGCCTTGCCACCCTCGGTCTTAGCCACTCTCTGCAGTATTCTAGTCTACAGGGTGCTCCCAAAACTCCTACTACCACCATCTAACTTTTCACTGGTTCTTGAGGCCTGGGTGCACATGGACCCCTGCCCTAGGACATCCTGCTCTAGATGGCCTCACCTTTGCCCATCACCCGTGTAAACTGGCTGGGGATGTCTCCATCGGCGACGGGAGCCGGGGCTGGTTCATTGCCATCAGCGGGAGCCGGAGTTGGTGGCGGGGGGTAGCTCTCTGCAGCTGACGGGTCTTTGGCCTCAGTGCCCTTGTCAGTGCCGGAATGGGCCAGGGGAGGGTCAGCACCTGGCAGCGGCGGCTCCCCTCGACCCCCATCCTTGGCAGTAGGGGTGGTGGTGGCGGCGGCGGCGGCGGCCACGGTGGCTTGGAGGACACTGTAGGCCTTGATGGGCGTGATGATGATCTGCTGCAGCTCCTGCAGAGCATTTCGCAGATTCCCGCCTTCAAGCACATCCTGGGTGGGGAGACGGGGGCCAGAGTCACACGGGGAACCCCCAGAGTGAGGAAGAGAGAGTGACTGCACGTGTGGGGTCAGACAGGGCATGGAGAGGGCTGGGCAGGGCCTTGGGTTCCAGCACGTGGAGAAGGCAGGTAAGAGTTCTGCAAGCTCCACACATTTGCAGGAACGCACGTGTAAACACACAACCCCTCTTTCCTCTCAAGGTGGAGTTCCATGGAGTAGACCAGTCTAGTGATAGGGCCTCAGGGTCCCACCAAGAACAGAACCAGATTCAGACTTAAGAGACTCAGACCCAGACACTGAGGGGAAAAAAACAAACAGAAGAGAAGCAGCAGAGAGAGGCAAAAACTAACGGAAACAGAGGCAGCAGGTATGGAAGGGAGCAAATGAGAAACAAGGCAATGGAAAGAGATCATGGACATAGGAGAGACTCCGCCCTACCACAAAGATCGGGAGAAACAGAGAAGGGGGGGGAAGGGGTTGAGTCAAAGAGAGTGACCTTCTAGAGACGCAGACCAAGACAGAGAGGGAACCTCTTAGCCACTGGCTAGTAACCCTTTGATGCCAATTTATACCTTGGAATCAGCTCCCTGGGGCTAGAGAGACCCAAAGAGGCCACCTGGGCAGTAAGGCTGACCCAGAGGCTGGCCCTCTGGTACCCCTGGGCAGTCAGTTGGCCTTACAGACGGGAGTACCAGGCCCTCACCTTCTCCAGGGACTTGAGAACACTCTGCCTCTCACGCAGCTTCTGGATGCTCAGGGCTATCTTGTGGCGGGCACCTTTGGTGACATTCTGTGGTAGGGGAACAAGGGGACAAGTTAGAAATGGGTGACTGAGGTACTTAGGGGTACCCCAAAAGGGACTGAAGAAAGAGAGGTAGCTTGGTGTACAAGGGTAGGGCCAATATGGTACTGTTCCCACTCCCTCCCACATGGTGCCTTGGGCGTCACCTGAGACTCCAAGTGCTGCTCAGTCAGTGTCATCATCTCCTCGTAGCTCATCTGTGAGAAGAGGGCTGCATACTTGTGCAAGCGAAGGCTCTTGAGCCATGAGGGCACATCTGTAGAAAAGAAGGGAGGGAAAGGTCTGGAGCCTGGCCCTCACGGCCAGGGCGCAGACTACAGGGCTGGACCAGGCAGAAAGCACAGGGGACCTTAACGGCTACAGACAATTGGGAGGGGGTCTGGGGAGCCAAGGGTCCATAAGCTACTTCTATCTGCTCAGCTACACCCACGCAGGCAGCCTTCCCTGACCAGGACACCCTACCCTGCTTGGCAGGTCTCCCTTCCGCACTGGTTCACTACATGTGTGCTAGGCTGACTGTAGTTCTCGCAAAGTGTTCCTGGAACTTTTCCAGTTACCTTTGTCCAGGTTTCTTGACAAACTGGAGTCTGTAAGGGCCTTCTCCCCATCACAGCAGGGTATGTGAGGGTGGAAGCATGCTCTCTCTGCTCAGTCTTGAGCACTAAGGGCAGGGAGGGTCCAGCCCCCTCAAGCCAAGGGCCCAGGCCTCAGAGGGCCAGGCGGGGTTCCCTGGTATCCCTGGAGCTCTGCGGAAGCTCCTGGAGGAGGGGCCTGTGCCACCCTCCTCAGGCTGTACCTTTCATTCCGCTGCCATCCTCCTGGAAAGTGTTCCGGCTGGAGCCCTGCTCCTCCGTCTGCTCGCTGCCAGAGGAGGCCACGCTGCTCTGGGGCGAGAGGGGCGCGTGGTCGGGCGTGCTGAAGGCAGCCCGGGCCCCGAGCTCTTCTGGACTGGGCCACTCACCAGGGGCCTGTGGGCTCGTGGGGATGAGTGACATGGAGCGCTTCAGCGGGCTGGGGTGGATTTGGCAGGGGAGACCTGGCAGTAGGGGGACAGAGGCAAGAGGGAAGTCAGGCTTGGAGGTCTGCCCTCAGGAGACCAAGCCTTCCTGGTTGGCCCTACCCCCACCCCTGCCAGTGCCACAAACTCAGCTCCAAAGATCCTCCAAGGGAACCCGAAGTGTGAGGGCAGCTGCCTACCAGGTATTGCTTGTTCACTCACCCCCCCCAAAAAAAACCTATCAGCAAGCTCTGCCAGCCCCTCCTTTCAGGCTCTCCACCTCCCCTGGCACCCTGGTCCAAGCCACTGACGTCTCTCCCTGAACTGCTGCCACAGCTTCCTCACTGGTTCCTGGCCTTATTCTTGCCTCCTGCCGTCCACTCACCTCACAGCATATACACTGATCCATCATAAAAATGCAAAGCTGATCAAATCTTAAATGCTTCCACCACCTTTAAAGGCCTGAAGGACCTGGTCCCTGCTCCTCCCCGACACCTCATCTACCACCACTCACTCTTGGCTGGTGCTTTCCAGCCTTGGCACCAACCCCCTCCAGTTTACTCCTAGCCATTCAACCTTGTTTCACCCTCAGGGCTTTTGTACCTGCTTTCCTCTCAGGTCTCCTTTAAGTGTCACTCCTTGGAAGGAAGGCTGGGCAATCTACTTCCGTAGTAACTGCCTCAGAAACCCAAGGAGGCGTCACTGTGAGTCGGGTCCAACTCAATGGCAATGAGTTTGGTTTTGGTTTGCTTCCCAGAGTCCTCCCCTGACAGCTCAATCTGAAGGAGCTGCCTCCTCCCTCATGCTGGTCACTCTGCCACATTATTGTTTGATCCATCTCATAGCACCTGTGGCAATGTGCCATTATCTGATTTAGTTATCTGTTTACTTGCTTATTAGCTGTGTCCCCTGCTGGAACAGGAACGCTGTTCTTAGACAGCATTGTATCCACAATCAGAACGAGGCCCAATCCAGAGGAGAGGTTTCATGAGAACGTGTAAAAATGAATGAATGAAGTACAGCAGCTGCTCCTCCACATCCCCACTGCTGGGCCTCACTGCACACCAAAGTTTTTCCTGTACCCAGTCAAAACTTGCCATACCTGAGGCCTAGGTGACTCCGGGCCCTCTTTCACAGGCCGTTTCACACCTTACCCCATCCCATTCACGGGGAGGCAGAGGTCTGACTTAACTTTCAACCGTCCCCAGAACAGGGTAGGTCCCATGAGCTTCCACCCCACTGCATACATCACTCTTTGGCCCACTCCCCATCCTTTTCCTTTACCCAGCCAGCTGCTTCAGCCTGAGGGCTCTGCTCAAGTGTCCTCTCAGCCCCTAGCAATGCTGCCTTGAGCCCAGCACTTACTACCCTCACCGTCAGCCTGCCTGTCCCTCTGGACTGTGGGCTCATGCACAACAGCAACCCCAGCCATCTCTGATGAGGCCCCAGGATCTGGACCAGGGCACAGCAGACAGGAGCCCTTAAAGAGTGCTTCTTAAAGGACAAAAGATGGTATCCACAACCCTAAGGGTGGTGGTGGGGCCTCTGAGCTCAACACAGGAAATCAAGAAGTACCCCAAGTCAGCCTGGAGAAAATGGAACAGCCAAAATCCCTCACCCCTGGGGAGGAGAGAAAATCACCTTTGCAGCCCTTTGCCCCGGTTCCCACAGGGAGTCAGAAGGCAGGGACCGAAGCAGCCAGGCTTATTTCTGATGGGAAGACTGGGATTTCCGCCAGCGCTCCACTGACACCCTGACTAGGAACAGGCCCAAAGACACCTTGCCTCATCTGTCACAATATTTATGTTCCTAGCCGGAAGTCACCTGAGGGAGGGGGCACTGTACTGACCTGCCCCCTAAGGCCAGCCTCCACCCATCTGCGACTTCTGCCATTCTAGGCCTCTCAGCCCTGGCTCCTATTCCCACTCACGAGTACTTGAAGAAAAAGGTACACTCCAGGCCCTGGGGGCTGGGCCATCCTGAATAGGGCCCTTCTGCCTGTCTTGGTGCCTCCGGCTGCCTCCCAGGCAGGCGAGGCTGAGGGCAGGAAATTGCTGGTTGGAATGATCGTGCAATTCCTGAGGAGCTGTGTTTGGCTGTGCACTGGGGTGGAGGCTGGCCACAGCATGAGAATTATAAAAACAGGAATGCTGGCCAGAGAGCCAGCGCCTCACACTCTCCAAGAAATGCCGCTCTGCCCTTGGCAGCACTCCAAACCCACCCTGCCTGCCCTCACAGGCCAATCCTTGCTCCCCACTCAAAAATATTTTAATGGTTTCCTGTTTCCACCAATTGCCTGAAACCAAAAAGTTTCACCCTGCCCTTCAAGGCCCCCAGAATTTGGCCCTAACCTACTGAAGCCTGGGAGTTCAAATCCTTACTCTGCCACACCTATCAGTGGTGTGATCTTGGACAAGTCACTTCACTTCCCTCTCTGCCTCCATGTGAAGGGACAGATACACAGGAAACATGAGTGTCTGTTACCACTGTTACTCACGTCAGTCTTCATGTGGCTCTCCAGCCTAGCCATACCTGTTTGCATACTGTCCCCTCCACTTTGACACCCATATGCTGTTTCAATTCAGCTGTGCCCATTACTTAGAACGCCCAATTCCCTTCTCTCTTCTGGTCTAAATCCGCTATCCAGTACTGCTCAAGCTTGGTCCTTATAACTGCTGTCCCCACCACGGGGAGCCCTGAAGGTGTGAGGAAGAAACTGATGGGTGCTTGCTACTTGGGGGACTCCTGCCCTTGTGAGGTCTGAGCATCTCCAGGAGGGTCACTTTCAGGGGGAGGCAGTGGAGTTAAGCATACACACTCAGAAGCCAGGCTGTCTGGATTTAAATTCTGGCTCCACCACCTTGGGCAAGTGACTTTTCTGCATCTCGGCCAATGACTTTAACCGTATAAAGTTCTCAAAACAGCTCCTGGCAAAGATGCAGTGCCATAAATATGTGTGTATGATTCCTGAACTCTGTTTTATCACCAAACTTAGTTTAAAAAAAAAAAAACATACATGTGAGTCAGATTGACCCTGAGACTGCCAGTTTACAACTCTGTGCTACCTCATAAAGCTGAGGCCCAGAGAGGTTATGTGATTTTCCTGAGGCCACAGAGTAAAGCCAGAGCCCAGCCTGATCCCTTTTCAAGAAAGCCTGGCCTCCTGGGACCCCTCCTCTCACCTGCGTTTGCATTGCTCCCAATACTGTTGATGGGTGATGGCACTGAGCTGGGTGGGTGGAAGGGCACATGTCCATTTTCCCGGGGTGGCTTGTCTTGCCAGCCTGGTCCTGCCTCCCCAGGACCCAACTCTGCAGGGCCCCCCCACTCATCTGAGCCCTGGCGTGAGTGGTAGGGGGGTTCGGGCCGGGGGCGGAAGCCGCTAGCCAGCCGCTCCTCCAGGTGGCTCAGCCAGAGGGCCAGTGCGTTGCGGTCCTCCAGCGTGGTGGCCGGGTGGATGAGGGCGTAGGAGAGCAGCTGGCGGCTCTCCTCGATGAAGGCATTGCTTTCGATCGAGTAGGCCAGCACCTTCTGCAGGAGCCTCATGTACTCCGTCTTGGCCTCTGTATTGCCAGGCTGCAGCAGGGGCAGGTGGGAGAGCAGGAGGGACACCACTTTCTCTTTGGACTCCTGCTGCCACTGGCCGACGACAGCTGCAGAGAGAAAGAGAGGGCGTGTCGAGGAAGTGGATGAGGCACAGCTCTAAACCCAGGAGAGCTGCCTGCTCCCCCCACACCCTGTATCTCTTCTTCTCCTCCTTTCATGACCTTGTTCCTGTTCCTTAAGGTGAGCTCATATGCACTTGTTCTGCCTCCAGAATAATTCTCTTGGTTCTCTCACTCCTGCTCTCAAAAACTTGCTGTGGCTCCCTATCAGTCTAACTTTGCTGTCCTGGAATCCGGGCCACCTTGCTGCCTCCAGGCCTGTTCTCCTTACGGAGTATTCCCGCTGTATCCTGATGGACTCTATCTCCTTCCCATAACGATCAAAACAGTCTCCTTCCTGACTGGCGAATGCAGTGAAATATAGTGGTTAAGAGCCAGGACTCCGGAGTCAGATGGTCTGGACTCACCAACTTAGTAGCTGGACTTTGGGCAGATCACCTTGAACCTCACTAACCACTGATTTCCTCATCTGCAAAATTGTGGAGATAATTCCAACATCAAACTCACAGTTCTGTTCTGAGATTCAATGAGCTGATAAAGAATGGAAAGTGGCTTGGCATATAGCGCATATGCAGTAGTCACTGTTGTTTTAAAAATGGTCTCTGCCTGCAGATTCTCCCCCTGCAATCCATCCATACACCTGGATGCCAAGCTCCTGACCAGGATTATGTACAACGGCAACC